TCTGCGTCTGCTTATCTAGAGTCTTCCTCGCTGCACACTTCCCACACCAAGTGATCTCAGGTGTGATCTCGGGTGAGTTTTTCCTAGGCTTTTAGCTGCACAATGAAATTTCTGCGTACCAGTGAAAGGCTTTTATTCACTAGAAACAGAAGACGGTTAGAAGGTGTGTGTGTGTACTGGCCTCGGTCCAGTATACCTGAAGGAGCGTCTCCACCCCCATCGTTCTGCCCGGGCACTGAGGTCCAGCGCTGAGGGCCTTCTGGCGGTTTCCTCACTACGAGAAGCCAAGTTACAGGGAACCAGGCAGAGGGCCTTCTCAGTAGTGGCACCTGTCCTGTGGAACGCCCTCCCACCAGATGTCAAAGAGAAAAACAACTACCAGACTTTTAGAAGACATCTGAAGGCAGCCCTGTTTAGGGAAGCTTTTAATGTTTAACAGACTATTGTATTTTAATATTTTGTTGGAAGCTGCCCAGAGTGGCTGGGGAAACTCAGCCGGATGGGCTGGGTATAAATAATAAATTATTATTATATTATTATAGAGTCAGACGATATGCATGTTGCTAACATTTGTCCTGGGGAGGGGATGGAGGCAGCCTAGATTGCCAGCTGTGGCTCACAGAATCATAGGGTTGGGAGGGACCCAAAGGAGTCATACGCCCAGCAATGCACGTGTATGCAGTTGTCCCATCTGGGGATTGAACCAGCAACCTTGGATCCAGGTTGATCTTTGACTGGAGTCAGGAGGAAATAATTTTGCCCCAGGCCAAATTGAATATTGTTGTTGGTGACTTGTAACCTTGCTCTCTAATGTGATATGTGTGGCATGCTTTGCTTGTAGGAATCATCTGGAACCACTGCTTTATAATGCTCTCCCCAGGGACACCTGCCTGGCGCCATTCCTTTGGCACCACACAAATGATTTTTGTTTTCCTGGGAATTTGGGCAGTGCCAATTACATCACATTGTACTGATAAACCAGCTCTTTATAACGTTTATGTGATTTTATTGTGTTGGTTTTTTTAACTTTGGCAGTAAATTGCCGATAAAGCAAGCCTAACCTATTCCGCTGCCTCTGTTAGCGCAATTGGGTTGTATGTTCCAATATAAAGGGGGCACCAGGTGGGCTATCCTGCCTTACGACAGGGTTAAACTCTCCCAACAAAATGAGTCTCTGAAGAGGAATATCCAGTATGGCGATTTTCTGGTTAAAAGGATGGCTTATGTGGGCAGCCTTGGTGGGCTCTGGCCTCAAGCGCATTGTCAGGGAACCTGGCTAGTGGCTGGGAAGAAAGGGACTTGGTGGAGGCTGGTCCATCTGGGGAATGGGGCATGGGCCCACCCACCTTAGGCTGGCACCAGTCAGCTGCCACTGCCACCCCATCACCTTTCTTCCTTATTGCCAATCCTGGTGTCGGCTGGGGCAGCTTCCTCAGTCTCAGTGATGTGGTTGTAGAAGTCATAGAATTGTAGAATTGGAAGGGGACCTGAGGGTCATCTAGTCCAACCCTCTGCAATGCAGGAATCTTTCGCCCAATGTGGGGCTTGAATCCACAATCCTGACATCAATAGTCTTGTGCTCTACCAACTGAGCTATGATGAATGTTAGCCAGGAGGAGGAGGTTGGAGGCTAAACTAGAATTAGAGGGCTCGGTCTGCCGTTTGGCTGTGGCTACTGTTGGTCTTCCTGCCCTCAGGGCTACCAGTATGAGTAGGCACCAGCTAGCACTGGTACTGCTGCCCTGGTGTGTGTGTGTGTGTGTGTGTGTGTGTGTGAGTGAATATGAAAAGGAGAGAAAAAGTAAAATGAGAGGAAGTGAAGTTCTGCTTTTTGATTTATAGAGGATAGGACCCTTGTGGGCACCTCATGTGGGTCATGGGTGGCGCTGTGGGTTAAACCACAGAGCCTAGGGCTTGTCGATCAGAAGGTCGGCGGTTCGAATCCCCGCGACAGGGTGAGCTCCCTGCTCCTGCCAACCTAGCAGTTCGAAAGTGCAAGCAGATAAATAGGTACCGCTCCGGCGGGAAGGTAAACGGCGTTTCCGTGCGCTGCTCTGGTTCACCAGAAGCGGCTTAGTCATGCTGGCCACATGACCCGGAAGCTGTATGCTGGCTCGCTTGGCCAATAAATCGAGATGAGTGCCGCAACCCCAGAGTCGGTCACGACTGGACCTAATGGTCAGGGGTCCCTTTACCTTTTTAGGACCTTGTGGGCACCTCATGTCCAGGTTCAAGGAGACACAGATGGGCCGCGCATAGCATTTGATAACCAGTGCTTTGATGCACTAAATGGCCGACTGCTTATTCTCTAAAGTTCAACTCCCAAACCCTCTCACTCAGTCCTGTGTGAACAACACTGAAGGGAGAGGCGTTGCATGGATGCGTTTGTGGATATTCCAACTAAACAGAATGGTTTCCCCACTCCTCAGGGATGCTGGTGGCAGTGTTCTTTGAGCACGTCCGCTCCATCTACAACGCCAGCCTGAGGAGATACGTGGGCACCACTTTCTTCCTCTTTGGCTTTGCCCTGGGCTTCTACCTGCTTCTCAAGATGCTGGGGGTGGACCTCCTGTGGACGCTGGAGAAGGCCCACAAGTGGTGCGAGCGGCCAGAGTGGGTCCATATCGACACGACGCCCTTTGCCAGCCTGCTTCGCAACCTGGGCATCCTGCTGGGGCTGGGGCTGGGCCTCAACTCTCCAATGTACGCGCAGAGCTGCAAAGGGAAGCAAAGGCAGCGGCTGGCTTTCCGCCTCAGCTGCATCGTTTGCTCCCTGTCCGTCCTGCACCTGTTCGATTCCTTCGAGCTGCCCACCGACAGGGAAATCCTGTTCTACACCCTCTCCTTCTGCAGGAACACCTGCGCTCACATCTGTGCTGTGGCGCTGATCCCCTACTGCATCTCCTGGCTCTTCTGGCAGACAAAGAAAGACGCATAGGGGGCAGAAAGTTTGGAACACAGCTACCTTGGACGTGGTTCTCCTGTTCCAGCTCTTGCAAGGGCCCTCGGGACTCAGGGCTAAAGCTTTACAAAACCTAGGAACGTTGCCGACTCTTTTGTGGGAGATGGAACTGAGCTCCTCTGCACATCGATGAATACGAGCTTCCCTCAGGTTAGCATCAATAGCATTCTGACATCCAAGCAGGAACAGCGGCAAGGACAGATACAGTGGTACCTCGGGTTACATACGCTTCAGGTTACAGACTCCGCTAACCTAGAAATAGTACCTCGGGTTAAGAACTTTGCTTCAGGATGAGAACAGAAAGACAGCACGGAGGCAGCAGGAGGCCCCATTAGCTAAAGTGGTGCCTCAGGTTAAGAACAGTTTCAGGTTAAGAACGGACCTCCGAAACGAATTAAGTACTTAACCCGAGGTACCACTGTACATAGAAAGATGCCTTACATCAAACCATACTGTTGGTCCGTCTAGACTGGCAGCGGATCTCCAGGATTACAGGCAAGGTTCTCTCCCAGTCCTACGGTGACAGGTGTAAATGTGTGTTGTGAAAAAAAATCTTCAGAGTCCAAACTTGAACAGAAAGATAGATGAAGTTCCTTTCTGTTTTAAAGCGAGCTGGGGGTATCTTGGGCATTCAATGGCAGTTTTTGCTGCAACCAATTGCTCTTTCTGATCTCCATTCAGGTGCCTTCTCCTGGTTTGTTCCTGTCTCTCACTTTGGATGTATACATGCTTCTCCTTATTTGTCTCTATTCCTCTACCAGCCACAAGTCTCAGTCTTTCCTCTTTGTCGTCTCACTTCAGTCTTGGATATCTGCATTTTGCCCTCTGTTCCAATTTAGTCTTGTGGGTTTTGTGGATGATTATTCCTAACATGCCTTCCATTGGCACAATATAGGTAGAAAACCCAAGTCTCTCTGGTAATGGTGGGTGTGTGGCTTTCTTATGTTAAAGGATGTCTTTTACTAGCACCACAACCCTAAGCAAACTTTCCGGGAAATGAATCAGTACACTGTCATATTGCTCAAGAAACAAAGTCACGTACAGTGGTACCTCGGGTTACAGACGCTTCAGGTTACAGATGCTTCAGGTTACAGACTCTGCTAACCCAGAAATAGTACCTTGGGTTAAAAACTTTGCTTCAGGATGAGAATAGAAATTGCGCAGCGGTGGCGGGAGGCCCCATTAGCTAAAGTGGTACCTCAGGTTCAGAACAGTTTCAGGTTAAGAACGGACCTCCGGAACGAATTAAGTACTTAACCCGAGGTCCCACTGTATTCAACAACTTCTAGGTTAGCAAGAAAACTCTGGCGGACAGTAGTAAAGGTAAAGGGACCCCTGACCATTAGGTCCAGTCGTGACCGACTCTGGGCTTGCGGCGCTCATCTCGCTTTATTGGCCGAGGGAGCCGGCATACAACTTCCGGGTCATGTGACCAGCATGACTAAGCCGCTTCTGGCAAACCAGAGCAGCACACGGAAACGCCGTTTACCTTCCCACCGGAGTGGTACCTATTTATCTACTTGCACTTTGACGTGCTTTCAAATTGCTAGGTTGGCAGGAGCAGGGACCGAGCTGTGCTTAATGCCCAAACATATCTGACTCCCTCCTGACCGTGGGGCAGTCCTTGGTGAGGCTTACTCCTCCATAAGCACATTTTAAGATGCAAACATTTAGCAATATCTGCCTTTGGGGCACCTTGGCTGTAGCGTGCAGGGAGCCTCCAGAGGCCCAGCTGAAGTGGTCAAAAAGAGAGAGAAAAGAAGTAGCAAACACCTGCGGGGCTTGATTGGGGATTGAGACCGATTTGGGGACGTGCAAAAATCAGTGCAAGGGCTCAGAGGGACTCTCTGTGTCTTGCTCCAGCATTAAAAGGGGGGAAGTTCCTTCTAGGAAAGACAGCATTGGCTTCCAGGAATGCTTTCCCTATCCATCCCTCACTTTTACCATCCCCGCTCCCCGAAATCTCTCAGTTCACTGCTGTTTCCAAATCAGACCACCAGTCTCTTTTGTTGACACTGCCACACTGAAATCAAGAACCTAAAGGGGGAGGAATCCTTAGTTTATTACTTTACAGTCCTTAAGAACGGTTGTCATATTCACAGTGCACCATTTACTCCCGTTGTCCATCCCATCACTGCTCTGTGCTCTGTTCGCTGACAAACGTCCGGAGGAGCGCTTCCACCTCTGGCCGCCGGCTCATCCGCGTGGCTTTGCCCTGGTAGCGGCCCCGCTTCCCAGCACCTTTTCCTTCCAGCAATTCAGCCACCCTTGGGGGAAGAACAGCAACAGGGTCAGACTAGCTTCTCCTTGCCCCACATTTGCTTTGTTGGTCAATGGGCTCTCATAGAGTACAGTGGTACAGTGGTGCCTCACAAGACGAAATTAATCCGTTCCGCGAGTCTCTTCATCTTGCGGTTTTTTCGTCTTGCGATGCACGGCTATTAGTGGCTATTAGCGGCCTAGCGGCTATTAACGGCTTAGCGGCTATTAACGGCTTAGCGGCTTAGCGGCTATTAATGGCTTAGCGGCTTTAAGAAAAAGGAAACAAACTCGCAAGAACTCGCAAGACGTTTCGTCTTGCGAAGCAAGCCCATAGGGAAATTTGCCTTGCGGAACGACTCAAAAAACGGAAAACCCTTTCGTCTAGCGAGTTTTTCATCTTGCGAGGCATTCGTCTTGCGGGGCACCACTGTACCTCGGGTTACAAACGCTTCAGGTTACAGACTCTGCTAACCCAAAAATAGTGCTTCAGGTTAAGAACTTTGCTTCAGGATGAGAACAGAAATCGTGCAGCAGCAGCATGGCGGCAGTGGGAGGCCCTATTAGCTAAAGTGGTGTTTCAGGTTAAGAACAGTTTCAGGTTAAGAACGGACCTCCAGAACGAATTAAGTTCTTAACCCGAGGTACCACTGTACAGTTGTACCTTGGCTGCCAAATGCCTTGGTACTCGTGCTTTTTGGCTCCTGAACGCCGCAAACCCGGAAGTGAGTGTTCCGGTTTGCGAACGTTCTTTGGAATCCGAACATCCGACGCGGCTTCCGATGGAGTGCAGGAAGCTCCTGCAGCCAATTGGAAGCCGCACCTTGGTTTTCGAACGTTTTTGGAAGTCAAACAAACTTCTGGAATATATTCCAAGAACCACGCCTAGGGCTGGGCCATCTCTGGTTTTCAACATTGCGATATACCAAAAGAGCACAATGTTTGAAATAGATCCATCCCTATGTAGAGCAGGCATAGGCAAACTCGGCCCTCCAGATGTTTTGGGACTACAACTCCCATCATCCCTAGCTAACAGGACCAGTGGTCGGGGATGATGGGAATTGTAGTCTCAAAACATCTGGAGGGCTGAGTTTGCCTATGTCTGATGTGGAGGCTGGCTTCATGGTTTTCCCCACACTGAATTTTGCATAGCAAACACACACACACACACACACACACACACACGTGTGATTCACGATATATTGCCGGGTCAACAATGATGAAGCCAATACAGTGGTGCCCCGCAAGACAAATGCCTCGCAAGACAAAAAACTCGCTAGACGAAAGAGTTTTCCGTTTTTTGAGTCGTTCTGCAAGACGAATTTCCCTATGGGCTTGCTTCGCAAGACGAAACGTCTTGCGAGTTCTTGCGAGTTTGTTTCCTTTTTCTTAAAGCCGCTAAGGCGTTAATAGCCGCTAAGCCGCTAAGCCGTTAATAGCCGCTAAGCCGCTAACAGCCGTGCTTCGCAAGACGAAAAAACCGCAAGACGAAGAGACTCGCGGAACGGATTAATTTCCTCTTGCGAGGCACCACTGTATCGTGATATGGACTTCAAATCGGTTTTGGACGATATACTGAACAAGCCTGGCTGATTTGTTTCAGCCCTGCAACTGCTACATGAATTTGCTTGTCTCTTTCAAAGACCCCCAGAAACCTGTGATTCTTTTCTTCCTGACCGCCCAAAATAAACATCCATGCTCCCTCCCCAACACACACACCAATCCAGGCCTGAATTTATCCAGCTGGCTTGAGTGACTCACCTGGGGCCCAGTTTCTCCACAGCTTCTGGGGGTCCCGCGAGCAGAAAAAGCCCAGCTGCTCTTTCATCTCCCACAGATAGGAAAAGGAGGGTTTCCTGCTGGAAGAAGGTTGTTTACAACAACAAAATATTCAACGAAGAACACACACACTTTATAATAATCTGATGCAGAGAGTCATAATAAAGCATAACATATGGAGGTCCACAGGTAAACAGACCGTGCCATAAATGGAAATGTCACCAAGCTAATGAATAAAGCTTTTAATCGTTCGGGGTGTAAGCAGTAGTCATGGATGCAAGAACCAAACCAAATTTTGCTTATCTGGGGCAGTCAGAATCCTGGAAACTGTAGGTACACTATTTGTTCTCAAGATTCTTGAGACATCAGCTCTTGAAAGACCTACATTGGCTCCCAGTACGTTTCCGAACACAATTCAAAGTGTTGGTGCTGACCTTTAAAGCCCTAAATGGCCTCGACCCAGTATACCTGGAGGAGCATCTCCACCCCCATCGTTCAGCCCGGACACTGAGGTCCAGCACCGAGGGCCTTCTGGCGGTTCCCTCATTGCGAGAAGCAAAGCTACAGGGAACCAGGCAGAGGGCCTTCTGAGTAGTGGCGCCTGCCCTGTGGAACGCCCTCCCAGCAGATGTCAAAGAGAACAACAACTACCTGACATTCAGAAGACATCTGAAGGCAGCCCTCTTCAGGGAAGTTTTTAATATGTGACATTTTAGTGTATTTTTCATCTTTGTTAGAAGCCGCCCAGAGTGGCTGGGGAAACCCAGCCAGATGGACGGGGTACAAATAATTTATTATTATTATTATTATTATTATTACTCTAAATGTATGGTGTGGATGTGACTTTAAATTCAGTAATATTTTATAAATTTTGCTATGATCTCTTTATTCTTAATTGGTATTTGGTAGCGTCACATTAAATAGTGGTATTTTAACCACAGAAGTTGGAACAAAACTGTTCCTATTTTCTAACTGCAGGTGCTCATTGAATCAATTCTATCTCCTCCTTTATATCACATTAGATTTTATAGCTACTCTGCACGCTGTGAGCTGCTACCTCTGTAGCCAGCTGTCTTAATTTTAATTTCACTTTTGATGTGTCAGCTGCATGATCTGAAACAAGAATTAAGTTTTTAAAGGCCTGATTGGATCTGATTTGTGTCGATACGCTGGAGGTGGGAACCTTTCCAGCTCAAAGTAGGGAGCCTTCAGCACCTCTCAAAACACCACTATAAAGGTAAAGGTAAAGGTACCCCTGCCCGTATGGGCCAGTCTTGACAGACTCTAGGGTTGTGCGCCCATCTCACTCAAGAGGCCGGGGGCCAGCGCTGTCCGGAGACACTTCCGGGTCACATGGCCAGCATGACAAGCTGCATCTGGCAAGCCAGCGCAGCACACGGAAACGCTGTTTACCTTCCCGCTAGAAAGCGGTCCCTATTTATCTACTTGCACCCGGGGTTGCTTTCGAACTGCTAGGTTGGCAGGTGCTGGGACCGAGCAATGGGAGCGCACCCCGCCGCGGGGATTCGAACCGCCGACCTTCTGATCGGCAAGTCCTAGGCGCTGAGGCTTTTACCCACAGCGCCACCCGCGTCCCCTAAACACCACTATATCCGGTGCCAAAGCTCAAAGAAACAAGAGAGAGAGAGACTCACCCCAGCGCCAATCTCATTCGCAATGATGTTCATGAACTCAGAATCACCGTCTTTCCTGCAAGCGAGGGAAAATGCGAACAATCCAGATTGAGGAAGCGAGCCAAGAGGAAGCCCTCCGGCTCGCGCCTTTGTTTAAATGGGTTCTGGCCACGCCCCCACCAGCCAGCTGATTGGCTGGCTGGTCGCTGACGCGGCCGGGATCCCCTGGGCAACGCGGGACTTTGTCCCAACACCCCAGGAGGAGAGTGGGTGGCCACGCGGCCCACCACAACTCCTCCCCACGGTGAAGTGGAGCGGACTTCCCCATCCCAAGACCTGAGAAAGCAGGATGCAAAATTCCACCTCTGCCACACCTTTCCCTACAATAGGTCCACCAGCCCCGTGAGAAAGAAACCAGTAATGACTAGACTGACTTAAGCAAAAAAAAAGTATTAATAATTCATTTGGGTTGCATTGATCCACAGTGTGTGTGGTTGTTTTTTTTAATTAAAAAAGATATAACACACAATTTTGCTTTGACGGGCCTCAAAAACCTGTACAGTGGTACCTCGGGTTACATACGCTTCAGGTTACAGACACTTCAGGTTACAGACTCCCCTAACCCAGAAATAGTACCTCGGGTTAAGAACTTTGCTTCAGGATGAAAGCAGAAATCGTGCTCCAGCAGCAGTGGTGCTTCAGGTTAAGAACATTTTCAGGTTAAGAATGGACCTCCGGAACAAATTAAGTACTTAACCCGAGGTGCCACTGTACAGGTAAGGTGAGTGGGAACAGCAGTTTCTAAATGGGGGTTAAAAAATCAACAGTACCTTTCAGGTGGCAAAGTAGAAAGCATCTGGAATTTTCCTCTTTTTTCTAGGTATTTAAAACAGTCGCCCCGTGCAAACCCAACACGACCTTTCCCCTCACCTGTGCAACACAAGAATAGGTTCCTGATCCAGGTTGTTTTTTAAGCTCTGAGCTGTGAGGATGGCCAAATCCCTCAGCAGGTTCAAGTTGCTCTGAAAGAGAAGTAGACGTCGGAAAGCGGACATAGCAGTGGGAGCGTTGGTTTGCATGGTGCCGTGGGGAGGGGGAGCTCGTGTGTGCTGGGGCGCGGGGGTGAACAGAGCCTGCCGCATGCCGGCCCGGCCGTCGCCGCTGGCAAAACCGGAGCGACACCAGCCCTGAGCCACTTTGCGAGGTGGGATCTGTTCAGATCCCAGCCTCACAAAGCGGGACAGGGCTGACTTGGGGAGGTGGGGTGCCCCCCGGAAAAATGTGCCTGGGGCAATCACCCTGGCAGCCCACCACCCCTCTGTTCCAATACTCAACCAAGAGTGATGGGATGGAGCAGGCAAGGAATTTCTGGCAAAGTCTTCCTGAACCCTGGTTCCAATTGCTGTCTTACTTCCTATGGACTTCCTACAGGCTGCTTACTGGAGTCTGACCTCAGCTGCTGCCTGCATGACCCACAGATGATCATGTGGTGGTTATCATTACAGTGGTACCTCTGGATACGCACACCTCTGGTTGCGTATCCTTTGGGTTACGCACGTGGCAAACCCGGAAGTATTTTTCCAGGTTTCGCCCCATGCGCATGCACAGAAGCGTTCTACCGCACCACACGCAGAAAAGGCACCTCCGGTTGCGAATTCCTCAGGATCCGACCGCAGCTCTGGAACAGATCCCGTGTGCAACTGGAGGTAAGGGTAAAGGGGACCCCTGACCATTAGGTCCAGTCGTGGCCGACTCTGGGGTTGTGGCGCTCATCTCACTTTACTGGCCGAGGGAGCTGGCGTACAGCTTCCGGATCATGCGGCCAGCATGACTAAGCCGCTTCTGGCAAACCAGAGCAGCACATGGAAACGCCGTTTACCTTCCCGCCAGAGTGGTACCTATTTATCTACTTGCACTTTGATGTGTTTTCGAACTGCTAGGTTGGCAGGAGCAGGGACCGAGCAACGGGAGCTCACCCTGTCACGGGGATTTGAACCGCCGACCTTCTGATTGGCAAGTCCTAGGCTCTGTGGTTTAACCCACAGCGCCACCCGCGTCCCATGCAACTGGAGGTACCACTGTATTATTATTAGTAGTAGTAAGTAGTAGCAATAGTAGTAGTAGTATACTGCTCTTCATCCGTAGATCTCAGGGCAGTTCCCAACATAAAAACGCCAGAGATGGAAAGAAGATAAAGTCCCTGCCAGTGAAGAATGGCAGATCAAGTTGACGGACTATGTCAAAATGGCTAAAATGACCGGAAGAATCAGAAAGGCCAAAATTTTAATAATGGGGGAAATTTATAACTTGTCTTAAAGACCATTGTCAACAGTTTAAATCGTTAGTAGGGTTGGAATATCGCTTGTAGTTTAATGGTAAATTTTGGATACAATGGAGAGATAAAAGATTTGGATTATTGCAAAAGATGCCGGAGGAAATGATTAACAATAGGAACCCACAAAGGGGAGGAGGGAAGTCCATGAGATTCCTTGGAATCTTGTTTTTATGTTGTATGTTGGACACGTGACTGTAAAATTTTAATCTGAAAAGCCAAATAAATAAATTTATTTTTAAAAAAATAAAAACACAGTATAAAAAACAGAAAACACATAATAAAAATACTGCGCGATCTCCCATTAAAGGCTTGTTGGCGGCTCTCTGTGCTCCCACTGGAATAGGGAATCCTTTTTTTCTAACCAATGTCTGTCAATGTCCCCATGGCCAACCTCCTGGGAGTCACATACCAATGCTGAGCCTGGACAGAGGCAAAATTGGGTAGGGCAACAGCGGTGGCTGCACAGGCAGGCTGCATTTCAGCTGCACGAAAGACGTCAAGACGTTTTGATATATGCCCATCCACGTCTTGCCCTCCAAGCAAGGAAGAGGCTATCTCGCAGTTCGAGGGCACATTCCAGCCAGGCAGAAACTGTCTGAAGGGGAGGGCAGAGAAGGGCCATAGCTTGGGGATACTGGGTGCAGTGTGGGAAGACTCCTGATGTTCAGATAGAAAGCCGCCTGCTATGCCTACCGGCGTGGGTTGCTCGAGAGCGAACAGGCAAGATCCCCACTGGTCTTTTCAAAGGCTTTATTATTGGTGCAAAAACACTGACAGTGCAGAACGCCTCAATTCCACGTCTTGCTCAGTCACTAGCAGAATCTGAGAGTGGGCGGTCCTTAAACTTTCCCCAGCAGAGTAGTCTCCTGACCCCCATCCGACGCCTCCCCTCTCTGCGCGTAAACCTACTGCGCAGGGAGGGCGTGGGTAAAGGGGGACCTGCCTCCCCCCCGCTTTGCTCATGTACGGTGTCTTGGCTCTTTATTGCATCCTCCGAGCCCTGCATCTCTTCCCCACTAGAGGCAGGGGCTTCCCTCCTCCGCTGAGGAAGTGCTGCTTCCCACAATCTTTGGAGGTTCCCTGTAATCCAGCTGCCTCTCGCCTCTGAGCTGATGGCAGTTCCCTGACGCCGCCTTTGACCTTTGGGGACCTGGGATTCCCCACCATGGCTCCAGAAACGTTCATGGAGGAACGTGGCTGTGGCGTTTGCCCCTAGGATGTGTCAAGGAAAGGGTTAAAATGGGTGTGAGGTGATTGGCCAGTGAGAATGCGAGGGGGGAGTAAAAGATACGAGTGGGAGGTTTTGAAAAGACAGTTGAGGTTTGGGAGTTGGGAGTTGAGTTTTGTCAGTTGGGAGTTGAGGCTTGGGTGTTGGAGAAGAAAGAGGGTGGAATAGGCAGTGGGTTGGTCGAGTTGTATTGTGAGAGAGTGAGAGGAATTGTTAGGGAGTTAGATAGTTAGCTGGAATACAGTGGTGCCTCGCAAGACGAAAAGAATCCGTTCCGCGAGTCTCTTCGTCTTGCGGTTTTTTCGTCTTGCGAAGCAAGCCCATTAGCGGATTAGCGCAATATATTAGCGGCTTAGCGGATCAGCTGTTAAGCGGCTTAGCGGATCAGCTGATAAGCGGCTTAGCGGATCAGCTGATAAGCGGCTTAGCGGATCAGCTGATAAGCGGCTTAGCGATCAGCTGATTAGCAGCTTGGGAAAAGGGGGGGGGAGAGAAAAACCCTGCAGGAACTCGCAATACATTTTCGTCTTGCGAAGCAAGCCCATAGGAAATTCGTTTTGCGAAGCACCTCCAAAACGGAAAACCCTTTCGTCTAGCGGGTTTTCCGTCTTGCGAGGCATTCGTCTTGCGGGGCACCACTGTAATCAGTTTGGAGTTGTTAGGAACTAGGTTTAAGAAACTGACAAGAGAAAAATAAACGGCAACCATACACTTGTTCCTACACTTAAAAATAAACTTGATTATTTGTTTATGTTAATAACTGTCTGGACTTCGTGTGTCCCCGAGAGAAGCGGGGTGGGGGCAGCGAAGAAAGCAACCGCAGTGGTGGCACAGGGTCAATAGACCGTGAAACGTCCGGGGGCCCTGTGTGATCGCCACAATGGCCATTGCTCAACTGTACCTTCTGAAGCAGCTTCAGAGAGTTCTGTAGCCTCTTTACAGCTTCCACGTGCTCTTCGGGGCCAGTCCTAAAACGGCAAGGGTAACAAGAGGCCTTCAGGGAGGGTTGGTACGTCATCTAATAAGAGTACAAGCTTCGTGATGAGGGAGGAAAAGGTGGGAGGACGTGAAACAGCTTGTGCTCAGTGGAGATGCACAACTGAACTGAGGGCCAATACCATCAGCTGTATTGTTTAGAATAGGTAAAGGTAAAGGGACCCCTGACCATTAGGTCCAGTCGTGACCGACTCTGGGGTTGCGGCGCTCATCTCGCTTTATTGGCCGAGGGAGCCGGCGTACAGCTACCGGGTCATGTGGCCAGCATGACTAAGCCGCTTCTGGCGAACCAGAGCAGCGCATGGAAACGCCGTTTACCTTCCCGCCAGAGCGGTACCTATTTATCTACTTGCACTTTGACGTGCTTTCGAACTGCTAGGTTGGCAGGAGCAGGGACTGAGCAACGGGAGCTCACCCCGTGGCGGGGATTCGAACTGCCGACCTTCTGATCAGCAAGTCCTAGGCTCTGTGGTTTAACCCACAGCGCCACCCGCGTCGGCATCCCCAAACTCGGCCCTCCAGATGTTTTGGGACTACAGTTCCCACCATCCCTGACCAATGTGTCAGGAGCTCGTCCTACACTCGAGTAGGACCCTGAGAGAGACATATGCCCAACTGGCATGTTCTCTCCCTCCTGGTCAATCGTTTGGGAGCTTCAAAAAGCTTTCTTCAGCCCGAACATCACAGCGACCGATGCCAACAGACATCGGCACACTTAGGGATCTGCAGAGTGTTCGCAGTTTGCGTGACAGACCTCCTCAGCAACTCAGCATTTTGGCTAATCTACTTTATTTACATATAAACACACATGGAGCACTGCAACATGGCTCCCTCTCTCTCTAGCATCACACAGCAAAGAGAAAGAACAAAGGACAATAGTCCCCACGGAACACAGTAACACAAACATCCTGTCTCTATCACTTCCCACTCTGTGGAGTCAAAACATAGACCATCATGTGATAGACAACAATCCTACGACTGCAATCACGAAACAGGAATTCTAACACACTGGTCCTGTTAGCTGTTAGAGATTTTAAATGTTTTAAAACATTTAATGTTTTAATGATTAATGTGTTCTAATGGAAGCCACCCAGAGTGGCTGGGGAAACCCCGTCAGGTGGGTAGCATATAAATATATTATTATTATTATTATTATTATTATTATTATTATTGCCCAAGCATAAGAACATTTTCTCCTCTTGTGATTTCCAGCAACTGGTATTCAGACACAGTGCTGGCTTCAGAATGCGCAGGCAGAGCACAGCCCTTGTGGCTTGTAGCCACTGAAAAACTTATCTTCCATGAACTTGTCCCATCCCCTTTTAAAACCATTGTTTGGGAACAGTTATCTTTAAATCCATTTATGGTATGGCTGTTGAAACCCTTCCGCTACTCATCCCGAGCCCTAAGATCAGACCAGAAATAACTGGCCCAACTTCTATAAACAACCAATTTGCCTATACAACTCACTATTTCTTGCCTTGAGGGAAAATCCCCACCTTTGTGTGCTTTTCCTTTTGAGAGTTCAAATGAAATTTGAAGGCCACTGGGTTTCCAGTCACCCTTCTGAGACTTTTGTTTCATTCCCTGGGACAGGGGGATACAAATACTTGCTTAAGCAGTGATGTGAAGGACTTCTCGGTTGCGTGGCTTCGCTCCAAAGTTTTCAGCACTCGGTTCCCAGCGAGGAAAACTAAGTTGGTCTTGTTCTTCTTCCCTTTTTCAGTGCCCAAGAGCTTAACCATCTTCAAAAGACAAACACATTCGTCTTGAGTGGTAAAATACTACATCTGCATGCGTCTATCCTGTCCCTTATATTGAAAGTGGGGAAAAGTCCAAGCTCAGTGGTAGAACATCTGCCTTGCAAGGTCCCAGATCCATACTCTGGAATCTACCGTATTTTTCGCTCTATAGGACTCACCTTTTCCCCTCCAAAAATGAAGGGGAAATGTGTGTGCGTGCTATGGAGCGAATGCAGGGGGAGGCAGGCAGGAAAAGCCCCCAAAAGCCGCACACAAGCTCTGTGCGGCTCTTGCGGGCTTTTCCTCAGGAGGGAGAAGGGACTGAAGCGGCCAGTCAGTCCCTTCTCCCTCCTCGTAGAAAAGCCCACAGGAGCCGCGCGCTCCTTAAAGCCCACAGGCCATAGCCGCGCGCAGCCTCTCCCTGCCAGAGAGGTGGCGAGCGGCTATTGCAGCAGCCTCTTTAGCCGCGCACCACCTCTCCAGCTGGGAGAGACCATGCGGGGCTAAAGAAGCCATAGCTCCGCGACCCTCTCCCAGCTGGAGAGGTGACGCGCGACTATGGCAGCAGCCTCTCTGCTGCGCGCCTTTCCGCTGCTCCGCACCGACCCCTCTCGCTCTCCAGGCTTCCAAGGTAGCCGCCTGAAGGCGACTGAACGCACCTTGAACGGCACCTTGTTTTAGAGGGGGAGAACAAGGGTGAAAAAATTCTCCCCCTCTCTGCGCAGCTCCTCCTGCCGCTTCGCTGAAGGGGCGCTGGGCAGAGAGGGGGAGAATTTTTTTTCTTGTTCTCCCCCTCTAAAACAAGGTGCATCTTATGGTCCAGTGTGTCCTACAGCGCGAAAAGTATGGTATCTCCAGGTGAAGATTTCTGCCAGAAACCCTGCAGAGCCTTGTGCTGGGCAGTGAAAATAATCCACTGTTTACACATTGGTCTGATTTGGTAAAGGAAACTTCCTATAGTTCTACGCGTCCAGGCATCCGTTAGAAAAGTATAGGCAGGTAATTTAAAATAAGGATGATTCCCCAATTACTTCACTATCTGAAGGAAGGAATCACTTGTAAAATTTCTGGCTGACTACTGACAAGCAGCAGTGAAGCCTTGTCAGAAAAAAGGTGTCCAAATTGATTTACAATCCCTGGTATCTCTGGGTAGGGCCGGGAGAGAGAGCCCTGCCTGAAATCCTGGACACTGAGCTAGCTAGACCAATGGTATAGATCACATAGATAGAGAGAATATTTATTTGCATCAGTCACTAGCCATAGCAATAAAATAAAATGTACTGAAGATAGAGGTAAAAACATAACTATACAAAATACATTTGGGGGGTTTACGTCAATAATCAAATAAAAGATCTTATTCTAATTGCCCCCGCTAAAAACATTGCAGTTTTTGCTGTCACCTGATCATCTTGATCTACTAAAAGGACTCTGTAGCAATGTTTGAGCAACCCGGCGTGGACACTATTGGAGGGGTAATAACCTCACTCCTCAAATCTTTATAAAGAGTGCAAGCCAGAAGCACATGAGCCACTGACTCAATCCTGTCATCTCCACAGGGACATAACCATTTTTCCAGTGGAATGTTTTGAAATCAACCCTCAAGTACAGCTGAAGGCAGTATAGTCAATCTTGCGAAATTGAAAGCGCGCCTGTATTTTGGAATTGCTAAATTTTGCAAATAGGGTGCCAAAGTGTCACAATGACTAGGTGGAAAATAATAATACCATGAACAAAATTTCCTTACTGTGGCCAGACTATCCTGTTGCTCAATATCATATAGTAAAGGTAAAGGGACCCCTGACCATTAGGTCCAGTCGTGGCTGACTCTGGGGTTGCGGCGCTCATCTCGCTTTACTGGCCGAGGGAGCCGGCGTACAGCTTCCGGGTCATGTGGCCAGCATGACTAAGCCGCTTCTGGCGAACCAGAGCAGTGCACGGAAACGCCGTTTACCTTCCCACCGGAGCGGTACCTATTTATCTACTTGCACTTTGACATGCTTTCGAACTGCTAGGTTGGCAGGAGCAGGGACCGAGCAATGGGAGCTCACCCCGTCGGGGGATTCGAACCGCCGACCTTCTGATCAGCAAGCCCTAGGCTCTGTGGTTTAACCCACAGCGCCCCCGCGCCCCCAATATCATATAGGGCGCTGTCTAATTAAATTATTCGCTTTACTGAAGCTCAGAGTTACACCAATGGCAGCTTCTCATGTGTCACGAAGGGGCAGCATGTGTCCTCACAACAGATGTGAGTGGCAAGGCACTCCTGTGCTCATTGGGGGGGGGGTCCAACCTGGCAAAGACCTTGATCCTGGTGCTGCAAGCCACCCCCCACCCCCATGACTCTCACCTGCAGGTCACTGAGATTAGAGATGTGCGTGCCACAACACATATTGGCATCGACACCCTCGATGCTTATAATCCGCACGGGCCCCGTGTGGTCGTCCGGCAATCCACGGCTCCTCACCTGCAATGCAGTGCAAGGTTAAGAAAACCACATGTAGCAGACCTCTCTCCCTCTTCTTGCCTCGATCCGCACGCTCTTGCTTACCAGCTCAACTTCAGGGTCGCCCACTGCCAGCTCTCGCACCACCACCGGGATCCTGGCTCGGATTCTGTCATTCACGCTCTGCTCAAGGGCTGCCACCTGATCTGCTGTCATCGAGGGGGTGTCCAGCTCTATAGTGCTTCGTTGGCGACCTAGCTCCCTGCCGAGGGTGGGAGAGAGGCAAACGGCGTGTTCCCTAAGTCACACGGGAGATAGCTCTGGGTGCACAGGAGAGCTCCCTCTGCCCCCAGCCCTCCAGCATCAGCCTCTGAGGAAGGGTTACTGCACAGAAACTAGGCTAAGCCTGCCATCCTCTGTGCGTTTTCCCTGGGAACAAATCCCTATTCAAAATATAATAATAATAATAATAATAATAATAATAATAATAATAATAATAACCCCGCCATTCTCAGCCAAGGCTGGGCTCAGGACGGCTAACAAGCAATAATAAAAACAAGTTGAATGAATACAACTTAAAAACAAGATTAAAATACAACATTAAAATATTGAAACATTAAAATGCAGCCTCATCACATGAGGAGAAAGGAAAAAAGAAAGGGGGGGAGGGAATCAAACTGGCTGCAAGCCAAAGGCCAGGCGGAACAACTCTGTCTTACAGGCCCTGCGGAAAGAAATCAGATCCCGCAAGGCCCTGGTCTCATGAGGCAGAGCGTTCCACCAGGCCGGAGCCAGTGTTGAAAAGGCCCTGGCTCTGGTTGAGGCTAATCTAACTTCCTTAGGGCCCGGGACCACTAGGGTGTTGCTATTTATGGACCTTAAGGTCCTCCGTGGGGCATACCGGGAGAGGCGGTCCCGTAGGAACGAGGGTCCTAGGCCGTGAAGGGCTTTAAAGGTCAAAAGCAGCACCTTAAATCTGACCCTGTACTCCACCGGGAGCCAGTGCAGCTTGAAAAGCACTGGGTGAATATGCTCCCATGGCAGAGACCCCGTGAGGAGCCTCGCTGCTGCATTCTGCACCTGCTGGAGTTTCTGGGACAGCTTCCCAGATGATGCATCTTCATGACTACACAATGATTTCATTTTAACCTTTGCTTCTGGGTTAAAGCAACAACAACATATTCCTTGTCAGTTAACAATGCAACGGTACCTCTGGTTGCAAACAGGATCCGTTCCGGAGCCCCGTTCGCAACACGAAAGGAACGCAACCCGCGTCTGCACGTGTCGCGATTCGCCACTTCTGCGCATGCGCGTGACGTCATTTTGCGCGTCTGCGCATGCACGAGCGGCGAAACCCGGAAGTAACTCTTTCCGGTACTTCCGGGTTGCTGCAGGATGCATGCTGAAAACGTGCAACCTGAAGTAAACATAACAAGAGGTATGACTGTATTAAGTCTGTAGGAGATTTGCTGGTGTAGGAAATTGTGGAAGTGACTTCTCAATAGGACTCTGTGGGGAAAGGAACAACTTATAACAATATAATAATAATAATTTATTATTTATACCCCGCCCATCTGGCTGAGTTTCCCCAGCCACTCTGGGCGGCTTCCAATCAAGTGTTAAAAACAATACAGCATTAAATATTAAAAACTTCCCTAAACAGGGCCGCCTTCAGATGTCTTTTAAAGATAAGATAGCTACTTATTTCCTTGACATCTGAAGGGAGGGCGTTCCACAGGGCGGGCGCCACCACCGAGAAGGCCCTCTGCCTGGTTCCCTGTAGCCTCACTTCTCGCAATGAGGGAACCGCCAGAAGGCCCTCGGCGCTGGATCTCAACATATTCCTTGTCAGTTAACAATACAGTGGTGCCTCTGGTTGCGAACAGGATCCGTCCCGGAGCTGAATGATGGGGGTGGAGACGCTCCTTCAGGTATCTCTCCTTGCAACCTACAAACTCCACCCAGGAAATGTTAAGCTACAGAAACATGCAAGGTGCCTATTCATATTCCAATGGCTACTGCTATTGCTGTGTGGAGTACTGGTGATTTGTCTGTATCAGTTTCATTACTGATTAATAACCTAGATCAGTGTTTCCCAACCTTGGGCCTCCAGCTGTTTTTGAACTACAATTCCCATCATCCCTGACCACTGGTCCTGCTAGCTAGGGATGATGGGAGTTGTAGTCCAAAAACAGCTGGAGGCCCAAGGTTGGGAAACACTGACCTAGATATTGTTCTTGGCATCCGCCTGTCTCGAGAGACAATGGAGTGCGTCTCTGGGGGGTGAAGTCAAACTGCTACGTTAGCAGCACCCAAGTGACCACCCTGGGCAGTGTGTAGGCAGGTCCTGGGCTGCCCAAACGACAAGACCCCCCCTCTCGGCCTCGCTGACGTGGTCCAAAGGAAAGCAGAGCAAGACATTTGGCACCAGTTTGGTTGCTGGAGTTGCCAGGAGGCGGCATACATGGCGCCTTCCAACTGTCGTAGGAACTTCACTCTGGATTGGAGTGGGGTTTACTCCTTAGCCCTTTCCTCTCGCCAAGGCAGTGGAAGTTAAGGATCAGTTTTCCTTCTCCTAGATGGCCAGTTTGACAAGTCCCAACTGCCCCTCACTTCCCTCTGCAGCATGTACAGAATCATAGAATCATAGAGTTGGAAGAGACCACAAGGGCCATCGAGTCCAACCCCCTGCCAAGCAGGAAAAACCATCAGAGCACTCCTGACATATGGTTGTCAAGCCTCTGCTTAAAGACCTCCAAAGAAGGAGACTCCACCACACTCCTTGGCAGCAAATTCCACTGTCAAACAGCTCTTACTGTCAGGAAGTTCTTCCTAATGTTTAGGTGGAATCTTCTTTCTTGTAGTTTGGATCCATTGCTCCGTGTCCGCTTCTCTGGAGCAGCAGAAAACAACCTTTCTCCCTCCTCTATATGACATCCTTTTATATATTTGAACATGGCTATCGTATCACCCCTTAACCTCCTCTTCTCCAGGCTAAACATGCCCAGCTCCCTTAGCCGTTCCTCATAAGGCATCCTTTCCAGGCCTTTGACCATTTTGGTTGCCCTCCTCTGGACACGTTCCAGTTTGTCAGTGTCCTTCTTGAACTGTTGGACTCACTACTGGCCTCATCTGTCCACCAGAGCCTGTCTTCACATGCAGGGGGAATCCCTAACCCACCCAGTTAATTCTCGTATTAAGTATTAGCAAATACGAAAAGAACTCTGGTCCAAGGTTGTTACACAAATCTGTCCTCCTTCCAAGCAGTTCATGAAGTTATTACTACCGTATTTTTGTGTATAGAAGATGCCCTGATGTATAAGACGCCCCCTGTTTTTAAATAGTGTATAAGATGACCCACAGTTTTCCACATACAGTGGTACCTCAGGTTAAGTACTTAATTTGTTCCGGAGGTCCGTTCTTAACCTGAAACTGTTCTTAACCTGAAGCACCACTTTAGCTAATGGGGCCTCCTGCTGCTGCCGCGCCGCCGGAGCACGATTTCTGTTCTCATCCTGAAGCAAAGTTCTTAACCTGAAGCACTATTTCTGGGTTAGCGGAGTCTGTAACCTGAAGCATATGTAACCTGAGGTACCACTGTAAAAAAACCTAGTCTTATACACGGAAAAGTGCGGTAAATACTCCAATGGTGAGTATGAAGATTCTTGCCACTCTGGGTGCCCCAATTTCTCTCGAGGGTTTTGTAATGGTTCTAGGGGTTGCTTGTGCGTAAGTTGCCGCCACTCCTGGCTAGGTTACCTGGTTGAACCCTCTCTGTCCGGACAGCCTCAAGTTTCGTGGCTGTCTCAGTCGCTGGCAGGATCCGTCAGTGGGCGTCTCTTGAACCTTTTCCAGCATAAAAGCTGTTTGACGCCAAGTCTCTTCCTACTCTCCCTGCGCGGAAGTCTCCTGCGCAGGGAGGGTGTGGGCAGCGGAGTACCCGTACTCTCTCCGCTGGTCTCCGGTGAAGAGTCCTGGAGCCTCCCCTCCGATTCCCCCATCTGCCCCCCTTCTCCACTGGTGTTACGCTGATTTCCTTCCCCCGTAGATGGGCTGCCTCTCTCCCTACTAGGACCCTCTCCGGCATCCCTCTGGAGCCCTCCCTCCGCCTCTAGCTCCGATGGCAGTTCCCTGACAGTTTTGCAGCTCCCCTCTCTCAGACTCATACAAATGCTCAGAACACACACAAGCATGGAGGAAAGCAATTAGGCAGAGGTGTGCCTCGCTCACCATGATGTCGTCTTGAATCCAAACATCAGATCCGCAATAGCTGTGATGAGATGCTGTCCTAAAAGAGACGATTATAAGCGACAGTTTCTCCTTCTCACCAGGAGATTTAAATATATATACATTAAAAATGTGTCTTTTTTGATGATCAGTCTGAATGTGTGGGTATCTCGTTCCATCGGTTTCTTACCGGAATGCTGCTGCATGTGGTCAAAGCGCCGGTCCCAATCCAGCACCAGCTGCACCTCGCTCCCTGGCTCAAGGGGTGTCTGGACGAAGTGTAGAGCATCTGGACCTTGTCGGGTGACCCTTAATACTGGGATGTCATTAATGAGCCCCCGGTCGTCGGGCTGGAAAAAAGAAATTAAAGTCACCAGCCCAGCTTTGGGGGAATATTCTCCTGCTGTAGCAGACGAAAGCATGTGTAAAATGGCAATGGTTGTGAGTTGCGAAGCTGAGCAAATGCTATACCACCCTCTTAAAAAAACCACAAATTTGATTAATGAAGCAATTGCTGTGCAGAGGTTCTCTGAATTATCATCACAATATTAATTAGCCCAAGTAAAAGTTTTGATTCTTTTTTTTTTTTTGCGTTTTAAATTGCTTTATTGAAATTGTATACAAAAAACAAGAAAATAAGAAAACATGTAACAAAATTATACATAAGAAGAAAAAAGAAAAAGGAAAAATATATACCGTATTTTGCGCCCCATAGGACTCACCGGCCCATAAGGCGCACCTAGTTTTTTGGGGGGGAAATAAAGAAAAATATTTTTATTTCCCCCCCAGGTGCAGGGCTGGGGCGGGGGAAGCCCAAGCTTCCCCGACCCAAGCCCCCAGAACAGGCTGCTCTGCGCAAGCCGTGGGAGCCCTCCCGCGGCTTGTGCAGAGCTACCCGAAGCCCCAGCGCGACTGCTGAGCACGCCGGGGCTTCAGGATAAGAGGCAGCTCCGCGCAAGCCGCGGGAGCCCTCCCCCGGCTTGCACACAGCTATCCGAAGCCCCGGCGCAACTGCTGAGCGCGCCGGGGTTTCGGGATAAGAGGCAGCTCCGCACAAGCCGGGGGAGCCCTCCCCCGGCTTGCACACAGCTATCCGAAGCCCCGGCGTGACTGCTGAGCACGCCGGGGCTTCGGGATAAGAGGCAGCTCCGCGCAAGCCGCGGGAGCCCTCCCCCGGTTTGCGCGCAGCTACCCGAAGCCCCGGCGAGACTGCTGAGCGCGGCAGGGTTTCGGGATAAGAGGCAGCTCCGCGCAAGCCGCGGGAGCCCTCCCCTGGCTTGCACACAGCTATCCAAAGCCCCGGCGCAGCTGCTGAGCGGCTGGAGCTTCAGGATAAGAGGCAGGTCTGCGCAAGCCGCCCAGGAGGGCTCCCGCGGCTTGCGCAGAGCTTCCTGAAGCCTGGAGAGGGAGAGGGGTCGGTGCGCACCAACCCCTCTCGCTCTCCAGGCTTCAGCGAAAGCCTGCCTTTGCCCCATAGGATGCACACACATTTCCCCTTCATATTTGGAGGGGGGAAAGTGCGTCCTATAGGGCGAAAAATACGGTACTTATTACATTGTATCACATTCTTCTCAAAGGTCTGATGACTTCCCGTCAACCCCTCATGCTTCTAAACATTATTTAACCCATCACACATTTTATTTCATTCTTGTTACTCATTATGTTCATAGATATTCTCTTTCCTGATACTCATTGATACATTAATTGTTATTATAGAGACTATAGATATAAGGTAATGATCATACACTGAATAAACCCATTACAATCAATGCACTTCAGTTACCCAAGTCCACTGATTTCAACTCCTCTGAACTTTGACTGAAATAAAAGCCCTGGTCATAAGATTTTATTTGGAAGTAAACTGGCGTTTATTCCCCAGTGTGTTTAGGATTGCTGGCTTAAACATATAAAAGAAGCACAGATAAGATCTGGATTTAAGAGCAAGCAGGAGATCACACATTTCTAGTAATTCCGTGGAACAATTCAAGTCTTAGTTTCAAGTACTAGGTCAACAGTAAATCCCTAGTAGCATATTAAGATGTATACAATATGTTAGAACCCCCAAAACAGGTTCCACTTTCTGACCAAGAACCAAGATTGGTACCTGCCCTCCACCCTCTGGGAAAAGAATAGTGTCTTCCAAGATGACATGGAATCCCTGAAGTGTCTCCTTCTTTCCACCATTTTCTGTGGACAGTTTTGCAGGGCAGCAGGAGACCACCTGCGTGGTGAACTGGGGAGGAAAAAGAAAGGGGGAATATGCGTGACTATAGCTTCACTAAAGATCTGGAGGTCTTTAGGTTCAGAGGTAATGAAAGGTATGCACTAAACTTAAAGAGATGGAATCTAAAGATGCTGACCAGATGGTTCAGCATGTCTAAAGCCAACGATTTCTAGCAAGAGTTTTCTTCAGGGCAAATTCCCTTTTATGTACTGTGAAGCAGAGCATAGTTTACTATCTTCTAACTGGCTTTGAGCATGAATTTTGTCACAACAATAGGTGATAACCAAAGTTGGTCACATTCAAAACCAACTCACTGAAATTAGTGGATATGACTAACTTAGGTCCACCAATTTCAAGTAGAACATACGACGAGTATTTTCAGTATCTTTAGATTATCTCTTTATTGTATTTATTATTTCTATCTCACCTTATAACATAAATGCTTCCAAATCAACTTAAGCAAAATGAAGTCATTCTTCACTTTTAATACATATTATAAAACATTTTACTAAAGCAATTCAAAAGCGAAACAACTGTAGGAGCATACTTTCAATTCAATGCCCAAATGCCTCACAGAATACTTTCACTTATCTTCAAAATTAGAGAAAGGAACAAGAGACAGTCCCTGCAAGGCCTCTGTTGCAGATGCCAGAGTCACAACTACAAGGCTGTGTTCTTAGCAGAAGTGGGGGTTTTTTTTTGCAATTCATAATCCCCCTCTGCTGTAGCTTCCTTCCTCTCCTGTTGATTTAAGATATGTTGTATCTGTTTATTTGTATGATGACTTTATTGCACTCTGCAAAAAGCTTTGAGCATCCATTGTACTGTATCAGATTCTGTGAAGCCACATTGAATGACAGCCAATTGCTTGGTCCACTGATGTGCTATGCGCTAGGCAAAACACAGAAATGCAGCCATTCCAGCCCCAGGTGGCATGCACCTAAAACTGCAAAATCATAGGGTTGGAAGGAACAACCACCACAAAAGGTCATCAACTCATGGCTGATGCAGAAAAACCCGGTGCTACACCATCTCTTACTGGCAGACATTCAGCCTCATAAGTGTTTAGTCCATGGAAGAACTGTGTGTGGCATAATCAGGGCCGGATTTAGGTTTGATGAGGCCCTAAGCTACTGAAGGTAATGAGGCCCTTTATATGTCCAGCTGTCCTTTGTCAACAAGAAATTGTCGCTGTTTTTTGTGTTGAATACATGCTATATGGTAATTTATGGACCTAATAGATATCTAAAGCCATTTGCACATAACAAAATATGTACTTTATCAAAGTAATTGTTGAACTGAAGTACAATTAAGAAGTATATTAATAGTGAAATACAATTAAGAAGAAGTATATTAATAGTGAAATAATTATTAAGCTCTAACTTAAAATGATTTTTTATTCATTACAAACTTAATAATGCAAACACATTTGCATTTGGCAATAACAAAAGTTCCTTTAGAAACACAATTTACAAAGACTCATAATCTAGTCTCTAGAAACTTGCTATAACATAAAATAATAATATGTGTAAATATAACATGAAATAAGAATATGTGTAAATATATGATGCAAGCTATTTATAAATAAACTAATTATAAATAGCAGAATGTAGGCACCCTACATATAGAAATGAGCAAACTAGTGATATTTTAGGGAGCAGGCTCCATTACTTACATCATAGGAGGCTACACAAACAAAACATGGTTGCTGTATGTATGTTTTTTATCTTATATTTTGGAAATGTACATCCAGTTTTTTTCTTTAATTTTTTTGGGGGGCACAAGAGAGTGGAGGCCGTAAGCTACAGCTTGTTTAGCTTAAACGTAAATCCGGCACTGGGCATAATGGTTAGAGCATTGGATTAGGACCTGGGAGACTGGGGTTCAAATCCCCTTTTTGGACACAAAGCTCACAGATCAGTCACTGCTTCTCTGCCTAACCTACCTCACAAGGCTGTTGTGGGGAATTAAATGAGTAAGGAGAGAACCATGTACACCACCATCAGCTCCTTGGAGAAAAAGTGGGGTTATATAAAGATAAAGGTAAAGGTACCCCTGCCCGTAGGGGCCAGTGTTGCCAGACTCTAGGGTTGTGTGCTCATCTCACTCTATAGGCCGGGAGCCAGCGCTGTCCGCAGACACTTCCGGGTCACGTGGCCAGCGTGACAAGCTGCATCTGGCGAGCCAGCGCAGCGCACGGAAACGCCGTTTACCTTCCCGCTAGTAAGCGGTCCCTATTTATCTACTTGCACCCGGGGATGCTTTCGAACTGCTAGGTTGGCAAGCGCTGGGACCGAACGACGGGAGAGCACCCCGCCGCGGGGATTCGAACCGCTGACCATGCGATCGGCAAGTCCTAGGCGCTGAGGTTTTACCCACAGCGCCACCCGCGTCCCTCATATAAAGATAGTAAATGATAAATAATAATAAACCTCCCCCAGGGCATGGCTGTTGTTTGTGTATCAGAGACTAAAGCCAGTGAGGTGAATCATGGCTATAATACTGGTCCAGCAAAGTGTTCAAATTCTCATTCAGCCATGAACCTCACTTAGTGATCTTGGGACAGTAACTGCCTCTCAGCCTAACCTACCCCACAGGGTCGTTGCTGAAGAGAAAACAGAGGAAGGGTATGTATGCCACTTTGGAGCTCCTTGCAGGAAAGGTGGGATATAAATATAATAATAAAAAATAACGCCTTTCCTTCTGCAGTGTTGGATGGCAGGTTGAGAGGAGTTCCCTATCAGGACAGACTTTACTCGGGTGTGCTCAAGACATCGATTCTATAAAACATATTTTGCTGCACTGTGCAAAATATGAGCAAGCCAGGGCTGAACTGATATTACCCTTGCTGGTACCTTTACCGGGAAAATCAGAGGCTCACTATGTCAGGTTCCTATTGGAAGACCGGACAAACGCTAGAACATTAGCAGTGGTGAAGTTTTTATCGGTGGTTGCAAGAACCAATGACCCCTATCTTTAAGTCTGAACAAAATGCTTGTTTAACCTGCAGGTAGGCTGTCTGAATTGTGCATTGCTTTGTAACGATTTGTTGGGTCTCTGGATCGTAATAAAGATTGATTGATTGACTGAATACAAAATAACAATGCTAGGACCTGTAAATAGGGCTACAGAAGAGGAGCGAGAGAGAATCAATCCGATTTGGGCTGGAGGAAAGCACCTTATATGAAGCAATTTTTCTCTTATTATTATTATTATTATTATTAGCAGTAGTAGTGTACATCTTGGGGTGATTCACAACATAAACATACAATATAAAGTTACAGATGGGTAGCCGTGTTGGTCTGCCATAGTCAAAACAAAAAAAATTCCTTCCAGTAGCACCTTGAAGACCAACTAAGTTAGTTCTTGGTATGAGCTTTCGTGTGCATGCACACTTCTTCAGATACACTGAAACAGAAGTTGCCAGATCCTTCTATATAGTGAGACTATATATATAGTCTCTCTCTCTCTATATATATATAGTATACTATATATATATATATATAGTATATATATATACTATATATATAGTTTTTACAATATAAAAACACAAAATAAAAATACTGATTGATCTCCCATTAAAAGCTTGTTGGTGGTTTTCTCTGCTGCCAAAGGAGTAAGGAACCATTTTTTCAACCACTGTCTGCACGTCTTCATGGGCAACCTTACAGGAACCATCGATGCGAATTTGCTCTCATCCGCAATGATGCAAATTGGCACGAACTGTAACGGTATATATGCAAAACAAAAAAATTCCTTCCAGTAGCACCTTAAAGACCAACTAAGTTAGTTCTTGGTATGAGCTTTCGTGTGCATGCACACTTCTTCAGATACACTTCTTCAGATACCCGTGTATCTGAAGAAGTGTGCATGCACACGAAAGCTCATACCAAGAACTAACTTAGTTGGTCTTTAAGGTGCTACTGGAAGGAATTTTTTTGTTTTGACTATGGCAGACCAACACGGCTACCTATCTGTAACTGGTATATATGCAGTTAACGGAAACGAGCGCCACCCCAAATCCCAAATCCCCTCGGTTCCTTTCACACCTGCCGGACCCAGCTGTCCCGCTGGCACTTGAACGCCATGGAGCCACCAGCAGCGTCGGACCCCAGCGACACCGGAACACGTTGGTGGGCACCTTTAGGCTTCAGGCGCAGCGAAAGAGCAGCTGTGACGGGTCACTTCCGCCCGGCCTAAGGCGAGCGGCGAAGGACATAACTAGCCGCGAGTTTCCCTTGCGCTTAGCTGACGAAGGGAAAGGGGCGGGGCCTCGGTCTCCTCTGCCTGCCGTTTGCGCTCTTCCGTGAGGGAAAGCGGACCTCGGGGCGGGGCCTTTGCTGCTGCCGCAGAAAAAGAAGCCCCCCCCCTACGTTGGTTCAAATGGGCTTCTATTTCTGTGTCAAACGAATCCCAAATTGCCTTACTGGACAATAAAATTAACAATAGACATAACCAAGTACAGCATAAATCCTGCAAGCACAAGCAAAAGCCATTCTTTGTTTATTTCTCAAAATTTAGACACCACTTGCTCATAGCTGTCAACTTTCCCCCTTTTTAAAGGGAAATTCCCTTATTCCGATTACAGATAGGTAGCCGTGTTGGTCTGCCATAGTCAAAACAAAAAAAATTCCTTCCAGTAGCACCTTAAAGACCAACTAAGTTAGATCTTGGTATGAGCTTTCGTGTGCATGCACACTTCTTCAGATACCGAATAGGATTCCTCACAAGAAAAGGGAAAAGTTGACAGCTACGCATTTGCTTCCTAAAAAAAGGAAAGAACCCTCAAAGCGGTTTACAAAAATATAAAACCGAGAAAAATTCACAAACGCTACTCTACAAAACATGCAAAAGTTTAAAACTCCAAAAAAGTGGGATAAAATGACCAGCTTTCTAAGCATTTCGGCAGGCTGCTTGTCCAAACAATAATGTTTTATGATCTATAAAAACTATTAGCAAAACAGCAACTGTCAGTTTTTTGGCAGCCGTAGAATAACAGAAAATGTGTATTTTCCAAGCCAATGTAGAAGAGTGTTTGGTAGTTGTTAAAATGTTCCATATGGAGGTACAGAGCAGGGGAGGCCCTTACATGTTTGTGAAAAGGGATTTTCCTCAGCTATTGCTATTCAAGATGTTCAAACTTTTTCTCACGGAGCCGGCCCACCCATGAGGGAAGATGAGGCAATTGCCTCAGGCAACAGGGTCCACAGAGGCAGCAGATCCCAATATAGGATCTTTATTTCCCTTCCCCACTATTCCTGATGTAGATCTTCATTCATCCCTATTTCCCCTGGCTGGGAGGAGGGGGCGCCATTTTGTTGTTGTTCGCCTCAGGTGCCAAAATATATTGGGCCAGCCCTGCTCTCTCACCATCACCACACCGTACATATACATCCCATGGGCAAACCTTTGATCGAGTGGGGGGGGATTATTACAGTTGCCGCTGCTCCTTGCAATGGGAAGGCGTGGGGAGGGGGAGCGCCGGTGCTAATTTGCACATGCTAATTAACAGTGTGGCGGAATTAAAGAACCTTTTAATGAGGGTGAAAGAGGAGAGCGCAAAATATGGTCTGAAGCTCAACATCAAAAAAATGAAGATTATGGCCACTGGTCCCATCACCTCCTGGCCATAGGCGCCGACTCCATGGGGCTTGAGGGGGCCCGAGCCCCCTCAAAAATTCGTTTGGGGGGGCTCCGCCCCCCCAATAATCTCCGGCGCCCCTCCAGCAGAGCGCCATCGCCGCCCCTCCCCCAGCCCAAAATGCACAGGGAGGGGCGGGCTGCATGCCTCCTGTCCTCCCTCCCGAGCAAAAGCTCCACCCAATTTCCTTTGGAGCTGATTAATAGGCGCAGCACGCTCTCCCCTATTCGCTCACGAGGAGGCGGCACCACTTTATTTGCATATTCATGAGCTTATTTATTATTCATGAGCTTTCCCGGGCCCCCCCAATATTTTTTATAAGTCCGCGTCCCTGCTCCTGGCAAATAGAAGGGGAAGAAATGGAGGCAGTGAGAGATTTTACTTTCTTGGGCTCCATGATCACTGCAGATGGTGACAGCAGTCACGAAATTAAAAGGCGCCTGCTCCTTGGGAGAAAGGCGATGGCAAACCTAGACAACATCTTAAAATGCAGAGACATCACCTTGCCAACAAAAGTCTGTATAGTTCAAGCTATGGTTTTCCCAGTAGTGATGTATGGAAGTGAGAGCTGGACCATAAAGAAGGCTGATCGCCGAAGAATTGATGCTTTTGAATTATGGTGCTGGAGGAGACTCTTGAGAGTCCCATGGACTGCAAGAAGATCAAACCTCTCCATTCTGAAGGAAATCAGCCCTGAGTGGGCACTGGAAGGACAGATCCTGAAGCTGAGGCTCCAATACTTTGGCCACCTCATGAGAAGAGAAGACTCCCTGGAAAAGACCCTGATGTTGGGAAAGATGGAGGGCACAAGGAGAAGGGGACAACAGAGGATGAGATGGTTGGACAGTGTTCTTGAAGCTACCAGCATGAGTTTGACCAAACTGTGGGAGGCAGTGGAAGACAGGAGTGCCTGGCGTGCTCTGGTCCATGGGGTCATGAAGAGTCGGACACAACTAAATGACTCAACAACAACTACAACAACAATTAACAGTGTGACTAAAATTGCTGTTCTTTTGGAAGGAAGCAGGTCTGGAAAAAGGGGGGTAATTGCTGTAAAAAGCAGTGTGATCTGAAATTGGTCAGCTGCTGCTGCTGCCAATGAGTGGAGGGATTTGGCGCAAGCAGGACTGCAAAGCGTTTTGTAACGTGAAAACTAAAAGCAGCAGGAGAAAAACCCCATATTTGGGCAGTTCTTTTATCAGGCCAATCAAATTAGCGTGCAAGCATGCAAGCCACCAGGCTACAATGGTAAACAAAGCAAGGGAGCGGAAGTGGGTTGGAAGAATATATTTGTGTGTGTGTATTTGGCTGATAGTAAAGCCATTTAGGTCATAGCTGTCAAGTGTCCCTTATTTGAAGGGACAGTCCCTTATTCCAGCGCCATGTCCCGCTGCTGTCCCTTATTGATGGATGTCCCTTAAATGATGTCCCTTAAATTTCAAAGGAAGCAGCTCCTCTCCCCCCCTCCCTGCCGGCCAGGGAGGAGGGAGGCTCCAACTGTGTTGCTTGGCTGTGTTGCTCACCCAATAAGAAGTCTAAGAACGACTGGGGGGTGGAGCTTGCATGCCTTGTGTGTGGCTAGTTAATGCAAGCTGAGAGGTTTTTTGAATGCTGGATGCCATTTTGTTGCACGTGCTGCTGCAAACTTTGCAGTGCAAAGCCAGGCCGGGGAGCCATCTTAAGCTGAGGCTGCATAGGCCTTGTGGTGCATGTGATTCAGATTCTATTCAGTTGAACCTCTGGTTACAAAGTTGGTTGGACAGTGTTCTCGAAGCTACCAACATGAGTTTGACCAGACTGCAGGAGGACAGGAAGACTGGAGTGCCTGGAACAGGTGAGGCTGCAGGTCCCTTATTTTGGCTGCTGGTCCCTTATTTTCAAGGCTGCTGGTCCCTTATTTTCAAATCTGTAAGTTGACAGCTATGATTTAGGTCTACATCTGGCAGGAGTCTGAAGCTGGTTTGGAGGGGAAGTTAGCAGATGTTCAAAGGAGGCTCTGCAGGTTTCAGGTTGCACCAGGGCTTACCGGGGAGTTAGAAGCCGGTTGGGAAGAAGAAACATAATGCATTTGTAACAGCTGGTTTTTGTACATTCATTGCTAGGTGTTGCATGTTTCTTCTTCCCGATAAGCCTTGGCTTTAGCACTAGCCAAATATTATTTTTCTGTCCCTCCCCCTTGCTTTTATTTTCAACCTCTAGCCTGATGAAGAGAACTCAAAAGCTCTGTGCACTATTTTGTAATATTTTGGTGAGCCTAATCAATATACAGATTTTGGAGATTTTGTAATATGGAAGATGCCTTAACAATAATATATCTGTTCTTGATGAAAAACATGATTTTCCTAATGTGTTTAAATTAAAGAGAGGGCAGCAGGGTAGGATAGACTTGATTTTTTCCAAACCCAACCCAGGACAGCATACTGCCGATCTTTTGTGGCATAGCCCACCTGGCAAGATCTCTCTCTCTCTCTCTCTCTCTCTCTCTCTTTATTCTTGATCTGCGTGATCACATTTAGAAACCCCTTTTGAATCAAAAGACTCACCTTAAGATGATGATCAGCTATTCAGTTCAGTGACCAAACTGTTGCTTGGAGACTCATGGTTCCCTCAAGGAATAAATATTACAAGCTAGCAGGAAGGATCCCTAGTGCTGGTAGCTACAGTGGCTTCAGGTTTCTAAAGCGTTGGGTTAACCACACAATGGGCCTCCTATGAAATTCTGGACAGAATATAAAGTAATTCTTTGATCAATTGCGTTTGTAGTTAAAACTATGGAACTCGTTTCTGCAGGAGACAATGATGGCCACCAACTTGAGCAACTTTAACAGAGGATAAGAAGTTCTTCCATGGCTTCTACCAATGGTGGAAGCTATATTCTGCCTTCATGGTCAGAGGCAGTCATGCTTCTGAATGCCAGTTGCTGGAAACTGCTTGAGGGGCGACTGCTGACAGGTTTCCCAAAGGCACCTGGTTGTGGTTGGCCACTGTGAGAACAGGATGCTGAACTAGATGAGCCATTGGCCTGGTTCTTACATTCTCAGAAGAGGTGTTCCATTTTTGCCAGCTTCAGGGTGGTGATGACTCTTACTGAAACAGATACCAACATATGAAGCCAGAAGCCCACCCGGCTGTTGACATTCTATGTGCAATTTGGCTCATGATGGTCTTCTGAAGCAGATTGCCAGTGCAACCCTGCATAGAACTACAGTGGTACCTCGGGTTACAGACGCTTCAGGTTACAGACTCTGCTAACCCAGAAATAGTACCTCGGGTTAAAAACTTTGCTACAGGATGAGAACAGAAATCGCGTGGCGGCAGGGCAGCGGCAGGCCCCATTAGCTAAAGTGGTACCTCAGGTTAAGAACAGTTTCAGGTTAAGAACGAACCTCCGGAACGAATTAAGTTCTTAACTTGAGGTACCGCCGTACTTACAATTAAGCCCCATTATAGTTCAAATGGCACTTACCTCCAGGTCAGTGGGCATACATACAGTGGGCCTTGTTAAGTTATTAGCCGCTTCATTTCCCCAAGGCCATGTTTAGTGAACTCTTGCAAACTTTGGGCGTGTCATGCTAACTCCATACCTCATTAACTTTCAAGTATTACAGTCCTTGTATTTAATGAACAGGTACTTTTGAGCTAGTCAGTGTCATTCTACCTGAATAGGCACCTGATCCCTCCTTTTTGGACTGCATAATATATTTTAATATTGTTTTTCATAGTGGATCATGCTTTGCTTTTATGGAACAGCATACTTCCATCTTTCGTATGGTGCATAAGAAGTAACCTGGTGGGGAGGGACAAGAGCATGGGCAGACAATCTGACCTGAAACCCAATTCTTCCATAGTGAATTTGCAATCCTAACCCCATTCAAGCCCTAACTGAATTCAATTAGGTTTACTTCTGAGTAGACATGGTTAGGCTTGTGTTGTAGGTTCCAAGCTTTTTGTGATGTATGCCTACCCCATTTTGCCCACATTTACCAAACTGACAACATGAAATAAGCCTTGGAAATTTGATATGACAGGAATGCTTTCTTTACCTCCCTCTCTTGGCCTTTCACTGCAGCTTGGTAGACCTACTGTGAGTTTAGCAGTGCTTGGTTTATGCTTGTTTCTGGTGGCTGAGATTGTAGTTGGAAGGATCTAGGCTCAAGTGTTGGGAGACTTGGGCCCTCCAGGCATCCTTGGACTCCAAAACCCATCACCCCTGTCCACTGGCCACATTTGCTGGGGTTGATGGGAGTTGTAGTTCAGCAACATCTGGCAGGCCAAAGGTTCCCCACATTCTATCTAACTTATATTTTTAATCCTTATCTGCAGTCAGGAATTCTGCAGCCACAGTAACCTAGATTTACAGGGAGGAAGAACAAATCAAACGTAGCCTTTCCTATCTGAGGGTGTCAGTGAAGCAATTGGCATCTTTTGAGCTTCTTTGCTAGTGTACCTGGTCAAGCATGTTGGATCTCTCCTTCGCAGCCCGGCAACACTTGTGATAGGAATTTTATGGTCTTAGATATATGGTAATGTTCATAAGTGTACCAACCAAGCACGTACATAGATCAGCACAGGAAGGCCAACCTGGAACCATTTTGATTCCTAAACCGACCAAATCTTTTCTCTGCAAGGTCAAAATGGAAAAGCCTCCCCATTGTCTTTTCCTTCACAAATCCTGTCTTAAGGGTATGTCTGTGTTTGAATAGGGTGTGAGCCTGTGACCTGGTCCAGGAACTAAGTATTTATCATTACAAAAGACTGGCCAGGCTCCCCAGGAAATCCAATCAAGTAACCTGCCAGACAGGAGATAAACAATATTCAAATTTCTGTTTTAGACTGCCTTTTCTGTGATGTAGGTGTGATGTACCTGGGGGGTGGTCTAAGGTTACACCCCTTCTGTGATGTATGTATGATGTTTCTGGGGGTGGTCTTGATCTACAGGGTGGCAATTTCAAAAGTCTTTATAAGGCCTTGCACACCATTTTTCTGGGTCCCTCCTCCTTTCCTGCGTGTGACGGGAGCACCCTGTTGCAACAGATCAATAAAGATCAAGCTTACTAGCTGCTTTGCTTCTCAATATTCTCTGGTTGGCCTCTGTTATTTTCTCCTACCAATAGGGAACCTATGTAAGGACTCTATATGGGCTCTTGGATACCCCATAAGGGAAAAGGGCAATTTTTGTTTCCAACACACTCAAGACTAAACAAAAACCATTCTCTCCGCTGCAGCAATGGGTGACGGCCAACAAAAAGCTCAAAACTGTTACCAGTGTTTATTGGCAGAGATTTGAATAGCTTTGAACCTTTATATACAACATGTTTAAGGAACAATAAACTCTACAGAGAGAAGCTGAGGACATGAAAAGGGGATGGAGGGAGCTGTAGGTCAGAGAGGTTGGAGAGGTGGTATTGCCCATCTATTAATGAGAGTCTTGGAGGAGAGAGTCCCAGTCTACGGTTCGCAGCCGTCATGCAATCTCTTGGGAGCAAAAGTGAAAAGAATGAAAATCCCGGGGGAATCACAGTCCATCAATTCAACTTGCTCCACGACTTTGTCTCTCGCCTACTTCTTGTTCAATCCCAGCATTGCTTTTGTACCTGGTGGTAGTGGGGAGAATAATCACAGAATTCACAACGTCTCACAAATGGGATGAAGGCAAAGAAGGGATGAGGAATTGTGCATCACAGCAACCAGCAGGCTCTTCAGAGCCACCTCCACTTCCAGATGTTCAGCGCTCAAGGCCAGTGTGTCAAGGGCTGGCACATTCTTGGGCACCTGCCCAGGCCCACTGCCAACCTGCAGGTGTGTTCCTCTTCCTCCCTGACCTGTCAGCATGCTCCCTTGCCCTCCCCCAAGGCATAGCTTGAGAAAGGAGCAGAAGGCTATACTTGTCTTGTTCTCTCCTTCTGGGCTGTGGAGTGAGGACAGTGACAGGTAGGAGGGGGTCCAACTCAGGGTGGAGGGCCCACCAAAGGTGTTTAGGTCAAGGGCTCCATAAAGCTTGGGAACAGACACTGTCAGAGCTGGGTGGAGATTCTTTTGACTGTAAAATGGTAAAGGTAAGGTAAAGGACCCCTGGACAGTTAAGTCCAGTCAAAGGCGACTATGGGGTTGCAGCGCTCATCTCGCTTTCAGACCGAGGGAGCCGGCGTTTGTCCACAGCTTTCTGGGTCATGTGGCCAGCAGGACTAAACCACTTCTGGCGCAACGGAACACCATGACGGAAACGCCATTTACCTTCCCACCACAGCGGTACCTATTTATCTACTTGCACTGGTGTGCTTTCGAACTGCTAGGTTGGCAGGAGCTGGGACAGAGCAATGGGAGCTCACCCCGTTGTGGGGATTCCCACAGCAAAGGATTCTTTGTTAGTATTCTGGCTTGAGATTTCGAATCTAGTAGCAGTATCATACTGCTTTTAACAGTCATGGCTTCCACCAAAGAATCATGGGAAGTGTAGTTGGTTAGGGCCGCTGAGAGTTGTTAGGAGACCCCTGTTCACCTCACAGAGTGACAATTCCCAGAGTTCCCTGGGAAGAGGGCTGTAACCACTCTTGGTAACTGCAACCCTGCGAGAATCAAGATGTGCTGGTCCCGGGGGGAAGGTTACCGTTGACGTAGTTGAAGTCCGGTCCTGGGTCACTATCCTGGAAACAGTTTGCAAGGAGCGGGGCGAGGTCCGAAGCAGGAAGCCGAGCGGGGACAGGAACACTGGAGGGTCAGGTCTGGGTCCGGACAGGAGCAGGTACTCAACGACGATGTTGCTCCCGCAACCTGGAACCGGGCTGACTGGCCTTTATCTTCTCTGAGGCCAGGGGCGGTCCCGGCCCCCAGGAGACCCGCCTCTCCTGGCCTTAAGGCGAGCACTCCTCCTGGGAGAAACCAGTTCCCTTCGCCTCTCTGCCCTGAGCCTCTGCAGTTCAGGAGAGGCTGAAGGATTACTGGGCCCAGGGGGAGGCTCACCTGTAGGCACTGAGTCCTCAACTACCTCTGGAGCCAGAATGGATTCACCTGGTGCCTGCTCCTGAGGATCCAGCACAGGTGCAGGCGCCTCAGAATCAAGGCCCTGCCCCAGTTCAGCCGGCCCTGGAGGCGGGGACTCCTGTGCAGGCTGGGATTCCTCCGGTTCATCCTCTGAATCGGATTCCCAGGCCATCACACAAGGTCTCCTAGCGACTCCCAACACCCTTTAAAGATAAAAAGGTAAAGGACCCCTGACAGTAAGTCCAGTCGCGAACGACTCTAGGGTTGCGGCACTCATCTCATTTTACTGGCTGAGGGAGCCGACGTTTGTCCACAGACAGTTATCAGGGTCACGTGGCCAGCATGGCATGCTCTGGCGAAACCAGAGCAGCACACAGAAACACTGTTTACCTTCCCACCGGATCAGTACCTATTTATCTACTTGCACTTTGACGTGCTTTCGAACTGCTAGGATGGCAGGAGCAGGGACCGAGCAACGGGAGCCCACCCTGTCGCGAGGATTCAAACTGCCAACCTTCGATCAGCAAGCCCTAGGCCACAGCACCACCTGTGTAATTATAGTTACAAACTACAATTCCCAGGATTCTTTGGGGGAAGCTGTATGATACTGATTTAAATTATAGCGCAGATGGGGCCTGCCCCTGAGACTCAGCCCTGACAGTTTAAGATTGGCCTGGAAGCTCAAAAAAACTGCAGCGGTCTGACATTCTTTTGCGATAGCTATTTCAGAGTTGCCAAGGCTAGTTCGCTTGTCTGCTTCCATGCCCAACCCCTTCGGCAACACCCCCCTCTTCCCTTTTTAGGTCCCGCCAGGTGCTTGTCTGCCCACCCCTTCAGACATGGAGAGGGATGCCTTGATGATTACCTTTGAGTCTTGCGCTTTTCAGATGTCATCCTAGGAAAGATCAGGACAGACAGGGAACGATCAGTATCTTTGGAGCCCAAAGCATATCCCATCCCAAGCTTGTAGAGGTGGCACAGTCTGGCAAAGAGAGCCAGTCTGCCATGGACCTGACAGAGCTGAAAGGGGTTATGGAGATGAGATCCGAACCGAATGGCTCTCACTTGCCTGTCGTTCCCCAAAAAATACTTACATCAAGGTCATCCATGGCAGGAGGAGGGCCTTTCTTGGTGACCTTCTGCATGAGCTGGACGGAGAGAGAAAAGGAAACGTGAGGACTTCAGCACTAATTTCTGAGAACAAGAAGATTTGCATCTTCTTCTCCTTCCTCCACAGTGACGCACCTCAGCTGCCCTGAGCCCGGTCTCGGCCAGGGAGGGCGGGATACAAATAAAAGTTTGTTATTTATTTATTTATTATTTCTTTTTAAATTTCTATACAGTGGTACCTCGGGTTAAGTACTTAATTCGTTCCGGAGGTCCGTTCTTAACCCGAAACTGTTCTTAACCTGAAGCACCACTTTAGCTAACGGGGCCTCCTGCTGCTGCCGCGCCGCCGGAGCACAATTTCTGTTCTCATCTTGAAGCAAAGTTCTTAACCTGAAGCACTATTTCTGGGTTAGCGGAGTCTGTAACCTGAAGCGTCTGTAACCTGAAGCATATGTAACCTGAGGTACCACTGTACTGCTTTATATTTTTAATAACACTCTCAAAGCGGTTTACAGCATATTCAGTCAATAAATCAATAAAACAATAGCCGGGCAACGTTCCTCCGGCCTCAGGAGGAGCCTCTTTTGTAGGGCTTGGTGAGTGTGGGCCCAGCCCCCTAGGCCAGGTGGAAAGGGCCTTGCGGAGAACGGCCTCCACGCCTCATAGCTGGGCGATGTTCCTCCGGCCTCATGAGGAGCCTCTTCAGTAGAGCTGTTGAGCAGTGGGGAATGGCTTGGCTTTGTGCTCTGGGATTATTCACCTCTCTGTTGGCATGTTGTATTGAAATATACTTGGAGTTGAATGTGGATTTCATGCTCTTTATTCAGCTCATAGTGAGGAGGAATGAAAGTTCCCCCAAAATATCTGCTTTATATACATTATTTACACAATGTGTCGCACGTGATTGGCTAATTCTGGGATTCTCCTGTAGGCCAATCAGGTTGCGGGTTCACTTCCACCTGGAGCTGGATTGGGTGGCTCCTGCAGACCAATCATACTGCTGCATTGTTCTAGGACCAATCAGACTGCTGCATTCTGAATCCTTTTGTTCTAGGACCAATCAGACTGCTGCTTTTTGGATCCTATTCAAGTCAGTACATAACATGTATCATCATCATCATCATCATTATGTTTTAACCATTGAAGAGGCAAAATGAAAGCTTGAAAGTACTTGCCCAATGGCTGATTAAATCTTGGAAACCAAGAGTTGGTTGGTATGGTTTCTGCCGGTTTGAAAGTGGAGCTTAAGGGCATAAGAAAAGCCTTGCTAAAGGTCCATCTAATTCAGCGTATTTTTCTTACAATGGCCAACTAGGTGCCTTGTGAAAAGCCCACAAGCATAGTTCAATGCCTTTTATAGCTCCTCTTTCTGTAACAGATAATGTCTGCAGACTGTCAAACTTATGTATATGATAAGCCAGGTGATAGAAAACATTTTGTGCCACGAATTTTTTTTAATGCAACTTATCCAGCCATTGTGCCCCTCCCTCAGCCTGCCTCTGAGCATTTAATGTGAGGACAAATAAGCATTGCGAAACATTTCACTCCCTGAAAAGGAATGGCTATACTGGTCGCATCACCTCCTGGCAAACAGAAGGGGAAGAAATGGAGGCAGTGAGAGATTTTACTTTCTTGCGCACTGCAGATGGTGACAGCAGCCACAAAATTAAAAGACGCCTGCTTCTTGGGAGAAAAGCAATGACAAACCTAGACAGCATCTTAAAAAGCAGAGACATCACCTTGCCAACAAAGGTCTGTATAGTTAAAGCTATGGTTTTCCCAGTAGTGATGTATGGAAGTGAGAGCTGGACCACAAAGAAGGCTGATCGCCGAAGAATTGATGCTTTTGAATTATGGTACTGGAGGAGACTCTTGAGAGTCCCATGGACTGCAAGAAGATCAAACCTCTCCATTCTGGAGGAAATTAGCCCTGAGTGCTCACTGGAAGGACAGATCCTGAAGCTGAGGCTCCAATACTTTGGCCACCTCATGAGAAGAGAAGACTCCCTGGAAAAGACCCTGATGTTGGGAAAGATTGAGGGCACAAGGAGAAGGGGACGACAGAGGACAAGATGGTTGGACAGTGTTCTCGAAGCTACAAACATGAGCCTGACCAAACTGCGGGAGGCAGTGGAAGACAGGAGTGCCTGGCGTGCTCTGGTCCATGGGGTCACAAAGAGTCGGACACGACTAAACGACAACAACAACAAGCCTCTTTCTGTAACAGATAATGTCTGCAGACCGTCAAACTGTATGTACATGATAAGCCAGGTGATAGAAAACATTTCGTGCCATGGATTTATTTTAATGCAACTTATCCAGCCTTTGTGCCCCTCCCTCAGCCTGCCTCTTAGCAGTTAACGTGAGGACAAATAAGCATTGCGAAACATTTCACTCCCTGAGAAGGAACGGCTATATGTGATGCCTAATAATAATAATAATTTATTATTTATACCCCACCCATCTGGCTGGGCTTCCCCAGCCACTCTGGGCTGCTTCCAACAAAATATTAAAATACAACAGTTTGTTAAACATTAAAAGTTTCCCTAAACAGGGCTGCCTTCAGATGTCTTCTAAAAGCCTACGTAATTTTAGCATAATTGTAATGGCAGGAGGTGCATTGGCTATAAAATTGCCAGCCACATTAACTGTGCTTTGCTGCCTGGGTGAAAGTGTCTTGCTGTTCCTGCTGTCGTTGCTGGTCAAGGAATCCAGACTTGCCACTGCCCTGCCGCTTGCCCCCCGGGGAAACCCAATCTTTACCACTAAATTGGACAAGCCAGGTTTTCTCTGGATTGACATTTGCCCTGCATTGCAGTGGGTTAGACTAGATGACCCTGGGGTCCCTTCCAACTCTACAGTTCTATGAATCTAATTTTATCATGAAAGATCAGGTTTTCCTGGGGAAAGCAGTGAGGAAAGGACAAAACTGCTCAGACTCGTGCTTTCTAGGCTCGTGACAAAAGTGGGAGAGCCCTAAAATCATAGGACACACAGCCAGTCACTATTGTCTCCTTGGGGTCTAGGGCGGTATATAAAATCAATAAATAATAAATAATAATAATCCTATAAGCTGCACCACTGCAGATCTGATTTGAAGACAGCTCAAGACTCTGCCTTGGTCCCATAGCTGGACAGACTCACCTCCGCATAGTGCTCAACCATGGCTGCCTCCACTTCCTCGTCTCCTTCCCAGTCGCGCCAGTTATCGAAGTCCACTGAGAGCCATGCTGGCTGCAAGTAAGATGAAGATTCACAGTTTAACCCAGACTCCCTGCTTCTGCTTCTTCGCCTGGCTGGAGGAGAAGCTTTGGGGGAACAGCTGGTCACTGAGCCAATCTGACTTCCGGATTTTATCCCTTTTCAACAATAAGACAGAATTGGCCCCTGCCAGAGTCTATTTGTCCCCAGCTATTTCTTTTTCCAGGGAAGCGGGTGGCACTGTGGGTTAAACCACAGAGCCTAGGGCTTGCCGATCAGAAGGTTGGCAGTTCGAATCCCGTGACAGGGTGAGCTCCCGTTGCTCGGTCCCTGCTCCTGCCCACCTAGCAGTTTGAAAGCACACCAGCGCAAGTAGATAAATAGGTACCGCTCTGGCGGGAAGGTAAACGGCGTTTCTGTGCGCTGCTCTGGTTCGCCAGAAGCGGCTTAGTCATGCTGGCCACATGACCCAGAAGCTGTACGCCAGCTCCCTCGGCCAATAAAGCGAGATGAGCGCTGCAACCCCAGAGTCGTCCATGACTGGACCTAACAGTCAGGGGTCCCTTTACCTTTATTTCTTTTTCCAATGTTTCGATAGCATAATAGGGCCAGATAGCAGCCACAGCTGAGAATTCTGGTTTTTCTGACCCCTTTCCAGCAACTCAGTATCTAACAACTGATTGGGGGTGGATGTTATGGGAATCCCTATTAACCAAAAGCTCACTGTGTGTGTGTGTGTGTGTGTTTCCACAAACCCTTTTCAGCATGTGGCAAATGCAACTCAGCCTTATTGAGTTCCCTTCTTGAGCTCAGAGAATAGATAGCACTGCACCAAAGATTTCACCCCAAAAAAGACGCCCCAAGTGAGTGCTTTGCAAGGGCTTGGACTAGATGATCCTTGTGGCCCCTTCCAATTCGACAATGTTATGATCTGTGACCTCAGCTTTGTATGGAAAAGAGAACAAGCCATGGGCCCTACCTTAAAGTCCTCCTTGGTGAGACGTGGCCAAGCGACTTTTTCCTTCCACTTGCGTGCAAAGAGGGTGATGGACCTGCCTGACCGCTTGTTCTGGGAATCCTGAAAGCGATCATGTTGGGAAATAAATATCAGGCGGCCCAAGAGGCTAATCTGAAGCAGAACCAAACTTGGGAGAAAGTTCTGTACGTTTTATGAAGCAATGAGGGCTGAGCCCAGGTGCACTGGTCTGCAGCAATGAATAGATTATAGGTTTTGGAAACACATATTCCATTGTTTTCATGCAATTCCAGGTCAACCAGCAACCAAAATAAGCAGGTAATTAGAACTGATTGCCAATTATCTTCATACGAGCCAGATCTCTCCAAGCCAGAATAACTAACACTCAAAACCTAGGGTGAGGCTACTCAGTAGAGTGGTACCTCGCAAGACGAATTCCTCGCAAGACGGAAAACTCGCAAGACGAAAGGGTTTTTGGTTTTTTGAGTTGCTTCGCAAGACGATTTTCCCTATGGGCTTGCTTCGCAAGACGGAAACGTCTTGCAAGTTTGTTTCCTTTTTCTTAACACCGTTAATACAGTTGCGACTTGACTTCGAGGAGCAACTCATAGCACGCGGTGTGGTAGCCTTTTTTGAGGTTTTTGAAGACTTTGGTGATTTTTGAAGCTTTTCCAAAACCGTGCTTCGCAAGACGAAAAAATCGCAAGACGAAAAAACTCGTGGAAAGAATTAATTTCGTCTTGCAAGGCACCACTGTAACATGTTCAGTTCTCTGTGGTTGTGGTCATTTGCAACATGCAGATTTTCCCAGCAGCCACCTTGCCACCACTGACTTAATCATGGACACCAATTAACAATTACCGGTATTAATAATTAGACAAACAGATCAAAAATTAATTGAAGAATGGGATTGTGTGAAGGAGTACATGGAAAAACATTGTTGCGGGACAAATATATCGATATGCAATGAATAAAGTTCACAGGGTAGAAATATTAAGGAAACGGATTGAAGTGGAACAAAATGTAATATTAATAACACAATGAATAAAATAAGTTTAAGGGAAGGAGGTCAAACATGGGTGGAGGGAAGCCTATGTTTTAATGTATTTTTTGGTGTGTTCTTTTAATTTTTTCTTTTGTGTAGTTTATTGTTTTTCTTTTTTTCTTGTGATATGGTTTGGTTTTTGTTACTGCAATTCAATAAAGTTAAATAATTTTTTTAAAAAAATTAATAACCCTTGGGGATACAAAGTGTGGCTATTCCACAATAACTGCCCAGTGCGGAAGCATCTCAGTTTGTTGCCACCGCAAACACGCTACAAATAGCCAGGCAAAGAATGAATGAAGTTGATAGGTACGCACGTTCTGTGAAATGTAAGGAACAAGCCATGTGCCAACCTCTCTGTTGCCTCCACTTGTTGGCAGCCTCTAAAATTTGGAAGATGGAGTGAGGAGAAGGTCCTGCACAGCTTTTTGGACCTTGCCCTTGATAGAGCTAAAGCAGTGGCAGCAGAAACTGCTCCCCGGACAACTCAGTCCTTGGTCATTTTTCAAAAGCATGCACCATTTAGTCTCTGTGCAGAAGCAGCCACTTTTAACTGGTGGCAGAAGTGCCAACGGCAGCCAGCCAAGGACTCCACGTATCTACCAGCTGGACGAGACAAAACTTTGCATTATTGTTCATTCTGCTAGTGAAGAGTTCCGTGGCAAGGAATAAAGGCTGAGGGCAGTTTTGCCCCTGGCAGTTGCAGCGCACTCCTTCCAAAATGGCACCCCCTTGTTTTCCTGCTCACCTTAGAATTAACCCGGGCATAAAAGGTAATCTCGTTGTACAACTCTACACCATCTGCGTTCTTGCAACTGTGAAAAGACAAAAAGATTACGGTGGGGTTCCTGAGGAGCTACGAAAAACAACATCTGAATAACGTCCTGTGTGATTTTATCAGTGATGAAGCTGCAACCATGATTAATCAGCACTGCAGTTGCCCCAAAAAGAAGTCAAAGGCCAGGTCTTCGCGGCAACTGATTGCACAAAATTTGCTCACAGCTAGACTTTTGAAATTATGAAACACGTTTCACCTAAAATGCTCTCCTCGCCACAGCAGCTAAGAGATTTCAAAATAATTGGCCCATCTGTTGGATCTTCATATTGTTGAGGGCAGGGATAGGAACCCTGTGGCTTTCCAGATGTTGCAGGACCAAAACTCCCATCATCTCTTAACAATGGCTTTGTGGGTTGGGATGGATGGGACTGAAATCCAACAGCAACTGGAAGGCCACAGGTTCCTTGATTCCTGTCTTAGGTGTAAAGGAATCTACACCTTAATGATGGACTTTCCCCATGGATCAGCTGAGGTTACGATTCTATGCTGTTAGGTTCACAGAAGCTCCTTGATTACAAGACGTTTTGGCATGCCTAACTCCATTCTGGATTGAGCTGCACGAATCATAATGCAAGATGTGCAGCCACATCCTTTGTACGTTTCCTGAAAGTAAACTTTCATAGTATTTGGTAGTTCAGGATTGCAGATCCACCTAGTGCTTTTTTCCTGGGTGTACTCAATGGTACACAGTACCGGCACATACACCCTGATGTTAAAAGTGTGGCACTTAATGTAACAGCTTCAAGAGTACCAGCATATTATTTTCTTTTTTAAAAACCAATGGAACCCCCCCAGATCAGTAAACAAATCCTAACCAAATTCCAACATAGAAGTAGACAACTGTGGAAGTTAGCAAGCAGTACAGGGGAGTCATTTACGATCAGCAAGCAACCCACACTGTACAGTGGTACCTCAAAAGTCAAAGAGAATCTGTTTCAGTCCGTTCAACTTCCAAAACATTCCGAAACCAAGGCACAGCTTCCGATTGGCTGCAGGAAGCTGTGGAAGCCACGTCAGACGTTCGGGTTCCAAAGAACGTTCGCAAATCGGAACACTCACTTCCGGGTTTGCGGCGTTTGGGAGCCAAAACATTTGACTGGCAAGGCATTTGTGATCCAAGGTACGACATTAGTTCTATGCATTTTCCAGGGCTTAGCAGGTTATTTTACATGTGCAGAAACAGAGGCTAGCAAAAAGATTCTTACATATCAAGACAAACATGGATTGCTTAATTGACCCTTCAGTGCTACACTATAATAATTATAATAATGAGAATAATAATAATTTTATTATTTGTATGCCACCCATCTGACAGGTTGCCCCAGCAACTCTGGGCAATTCCCAACAAAAACACAATTAAACATGAACCACTAAACTTCCCTCATGTCTTCTAAAAGTCAAATAGTTGTGTTAAGTTGTGGGTGAACATATCAGACGACACAGCGATTCTTCAAACAGCTCTTGTTTATTCACAGGCCAGAACAGAACTGAACTGAACAGGTTCAGCCATCCTGTTTCTATAGAGCTCCAGAACAACGTAATTGTAACAACTTTCTGTAACTATCCAATCACTGAATGTCACTTTCGATCCCTTATTTGCATATGTGGACCTGAACTATCTACAGTATCCCCCTGCTGGCCCAGGGTGAGAACTTCAGTACATAACAAGTTGTTTATCTGTTTGACACCTGATGGGAGGACGTTCCACAGGGCAGACGCCACTACCGAGAAAACCCACTTTATATATTTATACATAAATCCCCACTCTTCACCAAATGGTCCAGGGTGAGTTATATACAATTAAAATAACAATAACCAGCGGCAAAGTAAGAAAACAGCAGGGCAGAGCAGCCGTGCTAGCAAGACAGCACCTTACCTGAACACAACTTTGTAATCGTCAAGATCGACTTTCACGTCTGTGCTGTCCTCCACACAGAACTCCAGGAATATCCACCGTGGGCGGTCGTACCACAGAGTTTTGGCTGGTTGCCTTAGGAAACATGCAGAAGATATTAGGATGGCGAAGATGCAAGTGCCATTGCCAGTGGAATGAAGGGGGCATCTCAGCCTACAGTGAGGACCCATTAGCAGTGCTACAAATTTTAAACAGGGTTGACACTTTAAATGGTTGTGGCTTCTTACCCATAATTAGAACGGCATGCATCCATCTTCCCTCTCCTTCAGTGCAGGTTTGTGTGTGGAGGGCTTGCTTGTCTGCACTTGGGCATGGCAAACCATAACTCTGTGGTTATTAGTGAACCCACTTTAAAGCAGTGCGATCTCACATACGTGGTTTTGGAGACAGAGCAACATTTTGGGTAGCCAGATGCAAAAGAAGACAGGCTCCCAAACTTTTTTTTGTATAAAAAAAATTCCTTCCAGTAGCACCTTAAAGACCAACTAAGTTAGTTCTTGGTATGAGCTTTCGTGTGCATGCAGGAAAGGAATTTTTTTTGTTTTGACTATGCCAGACCAACACGGCTACCTATCTGTAACTTTTTTTTGTATATAATTTTTATAAAGTTTTCTGTTTTACAATTTAAAATACTCATTTTAAATCCTCAAGATACCAATGACTTCCCTTCTTCTCTTTCCATGGCTCATTTTACATATCATAAATCCCTGAATATTTTACAGAAACTACACACAGGTGGCACTGTGGGTTAAACCACAGAGCCTAGGACTTGCCGATCAGAAGGTTGGCGGTTCGAATCCCCGCCACGGGGTGAGCTCCCGTTGCTCGGTCCCTGCTCCTGCACACCTAGCAGTTTGAAAGCATGTCAAGGTGCAAGTAGATAAATAGGTACCGCTCCGGCAGGAAGGTAAACAGCGTTTCTGTGCGCTGCTCTGGTTCGCCAGAAGCGGCTTAGTCATGCTGGCCACATGACCCGGAAGCTGTACGCCGGCTCCCTTGGCCAATAAAGCGAGATGAGCGTCGCAACCTCAGAGTCGTCCGCGACTGGACCTAATGGTCAGGGGTCCCTTTACCTTTAAGGACTGTGCTTCTTTCCTGGAAAAGGGGGGGGGGTGTTGCTGGATTTCTAGACCAATCTGGGAGCCACCATCCTTCAAACGCGGGGGGGGGGGAGGCAGGGAGAGACTGCCCCTAATCCCAATTTTAGGAGAGCTATTTGTGGCTGACCATATGCAGTCACACAACATTAAACCCGATGAGTTGTTGAGCTCTGAGCCTGACACAGAGCATGGCTTCTTTCTAAAGGGGGGCGGGGCGGTGAGGACCTCTGGCCAGGAAGGGATATTCTTGTTCTATTTCCAGGGAATCCCAGGAATCAAACGATCGTTAGCAGTTGTAGAGGGACACCCACCTTGCCATGGCTCTCTTCCTGATTGCGTCTCAATCCCCGCAGCGTCCAGCCGGGCAGCCTTATTTCGAGTCCCCCTCCGGCCAGGCGGAGCCAAACCCCGAGCCTCCCCCTGCCCAGCTGCCGCTGTCCATCACTGTTCACCTCTTCCCCCATGGGACTGGAAACCAGAACTTTCCCGGTGCGCATTCCCAGGAAAGTCTCTGCAAAAGGTAATAAGACTCTGGAACAATCCCGATTTCGCAGGTTAGCCGCTTTGAACGTTACCACCACAATTGCAAAAAGAGATTTTATTAGGCCTCCTGCGGGGTTTTAAAAGTCTGCTTGTTTTGTGGGAAGTACATTAAGTCTAACCATTGATCTAATTGATTATTGGACCACAATTAGCTAAATACAGACTCTTGTCCTAAACACACTCGCCAGGGGGTTAAGGCTCACCGAGCACCGTGACTTTACTTCCGAGTAAACCTGCTTTAAGTCCAATTTCTCTTTTAAGTTACACGGTATTTACTGTCGATCTGGCTGTTGCTTTTCAGATTCTCCTATATTGATATTATCATGTGTTTTTCTTCTAGATCGACCTCCTAGGGATTTGGATAAGGGATGATAATGGTGAAGCGGTAGTCTAGCAAGGGACAACTTTAAGGTCCGGACGGTTGTGTTCAGACGACCCACCGGACGCTTGGATCTTAACATGTGATTTGTTCAAGTGTGTTGCAATATGGGCACATGTCCCCCACCCCTTCCCTATTCTGCCGCGTGTTAGAGGGATGGCGCATGTCGGGGTCTTTGGAGCAAACGCATTAAATGCTGCCATTCGATGCTTTTCTTTTCTGCATTGTCAAAATCTCAAATTACATTTTCTAGTGGCATAGCCACGCCCCTTCCTTTTTCACACCCACCCCATAGATTTATTTAAAAGGTTATGCATCTCCCAGATTCCGAGTTGTCTCTTGAGATTTTCGTTCACGGCTTGCTGAGGGCAAGAGCGTTAACTTCACACCTTAAACGGCCGACATTGCAAATGGCAGGAGCCCAGCGAGGATTTCCCGCATGCAACCCGGCGCCGATTCCTTCCGCGCGCTGCCTGCAGCAGCTCACTCGCAGTAAATCCTAGCATTGCAGAAGGGTAGACTAGGAAGAACAGCTGTCAACGTTTCCCTTTTTTTTAAAGGGAAATTCCCTTATTCCGAATAGGATTCCTCGCAAGAAAAGGGAAAAGTTGACAGCTATGCTAGGAAGGGACCTGGAGGGTCATCTAGTCCAACCCCGTGCAATACAAGAATTTGATTTCCAAGTGCAACCAATTTAGGAAAGTTCCCAGCGTCCAACATAACTGCAAGCGGAGCAATTCGAGAAAGCGCCTGCCACCTAATATTCCGGGCTGGAGGCGGAGCCGCAGGAGTAGAACGTTCCATAGCTCTGCAACTATTGGCTGCCTGGAGGGGAGCAGCCTGCTTAATTAGCATACGCGACGTCGCACCGGCTCCGTGCCGGAAGTGACGCGGGACCCTTGCCGGCACGGCTGCTCCTGACAGGAGCTTCCGGTGTGGCTTTGTCCCCGTTTTTGACCGTTGGCGGCGGCGGCCTCTCGCTGCTGGGATGGAGGCGACGGCGGCGGGTCCCGGCGAGCGCTGGGCGCCGGTGGGAGCGGTGGCCGAGGCCCAGGCCGGGGAGGAGGAGCCCGCGGAGGGGGAAGAGGACGCGGCGGCGGAGGCCGAGCCGGGGTCTCCGCGGTCGCTGAGGGCGGAGCGGCGGCGCCTCCACTCGGCGCTCTTGGCGCTGGCCTCGCACTTCGCCCAGGTCCAGTTCCGGCTCCGGCAGGTGGCCCGCGCCGGCCCGGCCCAGCAGCAGCGCCTCCTCCGCGAGCTCGAGGAGTTCGCCTTCCGAGGCTGCCCGGGCTTCGGCTTCGCGGCGGCGGACGGGGGCGGCGGCGACGCCAAGGTGAGCGGGAGCCGCTTCCTTCCTTCTCGCTTGCGCCTACGTGGCTCAGGTGCCGGGGGCCAGGCTGACCCGTGAGGCGGGCGACCCCGAAGCCCCTTCTCCTTCGTCCCCAGTGCGAGGCGCGGGGGACAACGCCAGACCTGTTCTCAAGCACCGTTGCTATTATTATTATTATTATTATTATTATTATTATTATTATTATTATTATTTTATTACTGCTGCTGCTGCTGCAATCGTTCGCTTGTTTGCAGATAGGTCTTGTATACTATTAGTATTATTTATTGAATTTATAGACCGCCCTATACCCGGAGGTCTCGGGGCGTTTCATAGAAAAGATCAACATAAAAACCACAATATATATAGCTATATATACCTTGATTCTCAAACGCCTTGGTACTCAAACAACTTGGAACCAAAACACTGCAAACCCGGAAGTAAGTCTTCCAGGTTACGAACTTTTATTGCTCAGTTTTGAGTGCCACACTTCCGTTTTGAGTGTTAAGCTGAGGTCTGTCTGTTTTTGCGGCTCTTTTTTGTGTGTGACACTGTGGAACCCAGTTCAGCTACTGATTGACATAGCTGTCAACTTTTCCCTTTTCTTGCTAGGAATCCTATTCAGAATAAGGGAATTTCCCTTAAAAAAGGGGAAACATTGACAGCTATGCTGATCGACTGATTGTGTGACTGCAGTACATTGTTTATTGCTTTCATTTTATGGATCAATGGTCTAGTTAAATTGCTGTTTTAGGGGTTAGGGTTAGGTTTTTAAAAGTCTGGAATGGATTTATCCATTTTGCATTACTTTCTATGGGAAAGTGTGCCTTGGTTTTGGAACGGACTTCCAGAATGGATTAAGTTTGAGAACCAAGGTACCACTGTAACAACCCCCCCCCCCAAAAAAGAGCCACATTTTAAAAGGGCATAGGATGTCAAACAGATCAACCAAAGGCCTGGTTAAAAAGGAACGTTTTTGCCTGGCGCCTAAAGGTGTATAATGAATGTGCTAGGTTAACTTCCCTTTGGGGAGAGCATTCCACAAACGGGGAGCCACTGCAGAGAAGGCCCTGTTCTCATGTTGCCACCCTCCAGACCTCTCCAGGAGGCAGCACACAAAGAAGGGCCTCATATGATCTCAGGGTCTGGGTAGGTTCATTTGGAAAGAGGCAATCCTTGAGGTATTGCGGTCCTAAGCCATATTAAAAAGGTAAAGGTACCCCTGCCCATACGGGCCAGTCTTGCCAGACTCTAGGGTTGTGCGCTCATCTCACTCTATAGGCCGGGAGCCAGCGCTGTCCGCAGACACTTCCGGGTCACGTGGCCAGCGTGACAAAGCTGCATCTGGCAGGCCAGCGCAGCACACGGAACGCTGTTTACCTTCCCGCTAGAAAGCGGTCCCTATTTATCTACTTGCACCCGGGGGTGCTTTCGAACTGCTAGGTTGGCAGGTGCTGGGACCGAGCAGCGGGAGCGCACCCCGCCGCGGGGATTCGAACCGCCGACCTTTCGATCGGCAAGCCCTAGGCGCTGAGGCTTTTACCCACAGCGCCACCCGCGTCCCCAAAGCCATATTACATTACATTATTTATGTACTGAATTTGTATGTCCACAGGGGTGCCAACTTGAATAAAATATTGGGGGGGTGCAGGTAAGTCCCACCCCGCATAATTGATCACATGACATGGCGCACACATACCATTTGAATGGCAATGCTGATCAACTTTTTTGAGGGGCCCAACCCACTCAAATACTTTGTCGGGCCCTTCGGCTCCTAAGAGCTGGTTCCTATCCAAAGATCACAGGGCTGTTCGCAACATAAAAATACAAAATGCAAAATACACATGCGCAGAAGCAAAACAAACACATACCGTAATCTCCCCCCACCCATTTTAAAAGGCAATAGAATGTGAATTAGCCAAGCGCCTGGTTGATGAGAAACATTTTCGCTTGATGCCTAAAAATAGGTGTGTATGCAGTCGTATGCTTAATTGATTTTTTAAAAAATGATTGTTTCACCCCAGTGCTTTTGGTGATCATTGTTTTTTTTCCCCTGTAAGACTTCCTGTCAACGAAAAATATG